TCTTCCCTCTCCCCACCTTCTTCTCCTCTCTTCCTCTCTTCCCCCTCCCCCCCCCTTTCCTCTCTCCCTCTCTTTCCCCTTCTCCTTCTCCTTTCCCTTCTCTTTCTCCTCCCCCCCCCCTCTCCCTTCCCCCCCCCTCTCCTCCTTCCCCCCCTCCTTTTTCTTCCCTCCCCCCCCTTTCCCCCCCCTCCCCCCCTCCCCCCCTCTTTCTTTCTTCCCCCCCACCCCCCCCCTCCCCCCCCTTTCTCCCCCCTCCCCCTCCGCGATTTCTGAACAAACTATTGGTTATTCTTTAAATGCGGTTCATGGTATAATTTGTCCTTTTCTAAATTAAATGTGGATACCGAGCTTCTGAGCAGAAAAGTGAAACATGAGCATTTCAAAATTGTTTCATTTTTTCTAATGAAGAGCTCTTGAACAACTTTTGGCTTTTTGTGATGTGAATTCTTTTATTAAACCCTTCTAAATTTGCTGACTTATCATAATTTTGGCAATTTTAAGATCTGTTTCTATAGAACATTTTTAATTCCGAGATCTAGAATATTTTCGACAGTTTTATTTAGAACATTGTAACATTGATAAATTTCATTTAAATAATGGTAGTATTTTTTATTTATATTCATGAGATAAGATTAAAATTAAGCATTTTTATTTTTTGCTGTGATATTATAAAGTTCCATTTCAGCCATTTATTATATGTGGAAAATGAGCAAGGTATAATGCTATAAAGCACCATTTATGAAACAGTTCTTAGCAAAAGCAAACTAGCTATGTAATTAATTAAAAATGTATTTTTAATATTTTCATGTTAAGGGTTTTCCTCATGTAATTCGGGCACAATTTAAGCTCTGGAAGAACAATGAAAACAATATAGTTGAATATTTTACTTCTGATACTAGAATCTTTTTCTTAAAATTTTAATCTTCCCTTTATTTTCTCTACTTTTCGCTAGACACAAACATAGAAAATATCAAAAATGCTTCTAATCTTAGTATATGGACAGGCATCATAGAAAGGAATTTTTTTTAATAAAGATATAGAGAACTGCAAATTTAAAAGATTCATCTAATATGTCTTAATGCATCACACACAGGGCTGGCACTAGGCATTTTCCCATCTGATGCAGTCTCTGTGGATCGTAAATTCTGCTGCCTGGTGCCTTTCTAAAACATTTTGCCATTTCTAGACTTTATTGCTCAGTGTGTCACTAAAATTCTAAATATTATGCCACATCAGCTCTCTAACCGGAGCTTACCGTATATATATCATATTTCTTCTGAATGTTCATATTACTAAAGAAATAAAATTAGCAGCTTTTTCTATACATTCTAAATGCATTTAGCTTATTTAGAATATCAGAAATCTTTAATTAAATCCAAAAGTTCTAAAATGAAGAGGAAACGTGGAAGAAAGAAACTGAATACATAAAGAAAAAAACAAATTTATTCTTCAAAGATATGTACAGTTATTATTACGTAAATTGTTTACAATTTCAGTTCTTACTATAATTTTCCTTTTCTATTTTCTCACCAAAATGCATATCACTTAGACAGTTTTTAAACTGAGATTTTTGGAGTGTAAGACAAGAGTGCGTTTCTGACCTCCTAGAAAGTATAGAAATCTAGAAATGGCTCACTACATTAGTTCCTGCACTCTCTGAGAATTTGTAATTATTCATCTTGGATTACCATTGGCGACATTTGAGTTTGTTATGATGATAGAGTTATTGAACCAGCCTAAAATGAAATTAAATTGTATAGTCTTTGAGCACTAATCCATATTTTTAGTTTGAATTTGATTCTTCTTGTTTCATTACGTCACTATGAGCTGTAATTGATTTTGTTAGCATAAGAACATGCCTTTATTTGTTAAGTTCTTTTTAAATAAGAATCTTATTTAAACCTTTGTTGGACATTGTAGTCACTTTCAGACATAGCGATACTTTGCTTCATATCTGTTGATGTGTTTTGGACTATTACCAGATCAAATAAACCTTTATAGGTACATTGTGGACAGGTTGACAGGTTAGGAGATAAAACACACAGAAATTAGTGAGAACATTCTTTTGTGTATTGAGACAAATTCCTAATTCTTAAAAAAGGTCCTTAAAGAGAAGTCAAAATGTCTAGAAAGGCTTCAAATTAAAAAGATGCATAAATATTTTGTTGAGTAATTTTACTACAAAACATAAATGTTTTATCTGAATATCGTTTAAGAATCAATGTCATAAATTACATGTATTTTAAACTGTGAAATTTTATTAGATTTTGAATTTAATAAGGCTTTTTTTTTTATTCTGTTAAAAAATAAAATTTAATAGTGGTCGTGTAAATCCATAATGACTAGGTTATCAAACTACCTAATTTAATTATTTATAAGTAACTGCTTACCTTTAAAAATTATCTCTACAAATTAAAGCGTGTTAATGCCTTTCATTAATGCTCACTGTGGTCACAAAATAAAATACAAAAATGTAAAAATTAAAAAATTCAAGTAAAACTTATTCTTTGCATCTAGTGAAACTTAAAATAATATAAAACAACTTATCACCTCTGGTGCTTTAGTGGCTTATTAGAACCTTAAAATATATTAACTGATTCACAACCCCTGCAGGTAAGCAGCAGCAGTGACAACAGCCAGTCTTTTTTTGCTCATCATGATTTTACTTCTCATTTTAATCTATGCCGCTTGACATAAAATCTGCTTACTATTTACTATTAATAAAATGTTTTTTGTATAGTCACCCGCCTTTTCTTTATAGCCCATCGGAGGTTTAAAAAAAAAAAGCCCTCATATATATATATATACATATACCTTTATCCACAGTTGCAATTAATAACATTATTATGGAATTGCCTAGTTTTTATTGCAATTTAATTTCAATTTTGGATGCTTTATGTTTAAGTTACATTAATCTTGCAGCTATAGCACAGGACAGGTTTAATTTTTGTTTTTGGAATATTACTTTGTTTTTCTTTTATAATCTAAAATGGAAACAAATCAAATCTAACAGCACATCAGTTTCTATTAAAGAATCAAAAAGCAAATTAATTTGATTTATAGTATAATTTGCAATGCTCATCATATTTTAAGATATGTTTTCTACATTTAGCACTAATTAACATTCTTAAATAACAGAAAATTAATAAATAAAATTGAGCAACACAATAAATCTGAGCTCTCATTTTAGGAGTTTCAGGCACATTCTTTTTCAATTTGATAACTTAATTTACAGTTTCATTTTCTTGATTCAATACTGTAAAAAAAGTTAAAGCTTTTGCTTATTTATAAATACATATTACATCAATAACAAAAATGAAAATATATAGCAAACAGGATTTCAAAACCAGAAGGTGGAGTATGAATAAGAATAACTGAAAATTTCACAATTTAAGCAAAAATGCCAGAATACTTTTTCATGAACATTATTTTATTATAAAAATAAAAACACAACAAGATTTTGTTATAAAGCTCTAGACTGAGCAGGTATGTCACAAAATGAGGTATAAAATAAAATCAACATAAAACTAACTGTTAGTAAAATGTAAATAAAATGTCACTTATCTCTTTTCAAATATGTTCAGTTCTTATAAGTGTAAAATATATAATGCTCCTTAATAAATTTCATATATTTTATTCTCAGACTTGATAATAATTACGTTAATTAAGTCATGTTTAATAATAATGCATCCTACTTACGGATCTATTTTATTTTTAGAATGGTATCACAAAAGTGAAGTTCAGGCATAGATAATATTTTTAATTGAATTTATTCATTTCCCATTCGCTCGTAGGTCCTGATTTTTTTTTCATTAATGTTCCTTAAAAGAACTTTATTTCCACGCGCAGAAATGTGTATGAAACCTGGTAATGCACCGCCACACTGGTTCTGCACCGGGTATTATGGTATGGGGCAGTATTGGATATCACTCTCACACTCCTCTAATACACATTGCCGGTACTTTAAACAGCCAGTGCTTCATCTCTGAGTTGTTGGAGCCAGTTGTCCTTTCTTACCTTCAGGGCTTGCCCATAGCCGTATTTCAACAGGATAATGCATGACCACACGTGACACACAATGTCCAAGGGTTCTTCGTCAATCGCCAGATTGAATTGCTTCCCTGGCCAGCTCACTCTCCGGATCTTTCGCTGATAGAAAACGTGGTCCATGATTGCTGAACAATACATCCCAAGCTGCCACACCAGATCAACTTTGGCAGCGTGTGGAACCTGCTTGGTCTGCTGTACCCCAAGAACACATTCAAAGTCTCTTCGAATCAATGCCAAGGTGTGTGGCAGCGGTGTACTCTGGCTACTGATTCTGGAAGGAACCACACTTCGCAGAAGTTTATAAATTTAATCATTTGATACTTGGTCAACATGTTATCTACTAAATAAATTTTGTTGTGATATCTCTTGTATTTGTTGGTGTTGCAGTTTGGGTGGCCAGCAGTGTATTTTTTTTCTGTTTGCCTCTAAAAGGTTGTAACAGTTGGTAGTTTCTCCCTACCCCATTTTTAATGACATCAGTTTTTGCAGAACTAGTCAGTTCTGTATTTTAAAGATATGTCAAGCATCATAAAATAAAGATCTTGCCTAAGTTCCACGTTCTTAGCTGCATAATCATTCAAGTTACATGAGTGTTATGTACTTTTTTTTTTGTTTGTTTTTTAATTTATCCCATCAATGTAATTATTTAAATTTGTTGACTGAGTACTCAAACCACAACCATTCAAATAATCTCTCATAAAACTGTACACATTCCATTTGGATTGTAAATAATAACTTCTTAAATTTCCATTCATTTTCTAAGGCAGAGGGAAGGGGGAGAAAAAACTTTAAGATAAGCATTTTAGCATAAAATAGAATTTCAGATTTGTTCATGTAGAAGACTGAATAAATTAAAAAAGTTTTTTTTTTTTTTTGTTTGTTTGTTTTCTCAATCTGATTGTGTATTTTCATCAATTAAATTTACCGTATTTGCTCTTTTCCATTTTTAGTTTGGTAATGGACCACAGTCTGCTAAACCTGAATTTCATACTGAAGGATCTAATCAAGCTAAGCAAATTACACCATCTTCTAGCAGCACAAAGTGTGATAAGAAAAATTTAAATTATATGTTTCATACTCTTCTTGGACCTTTCTTACAGTATGGAGATATGTTAGGTTTGTATTATGTTTGTTGTCTTGTGATTATTATTATTATTGGTACTATGTCTTAACTCGATTTTTTTTTCATAAAATTGAAGTAAATGTATTGCTTTTGTTGTAGTTTTTACATACTTCTGTGTAACAAATATTTAATCTGTAAATAAGATAGACTTTTGCATAATAAATGTAAAATCTATCTTTTGTATAAAAAATATTTTGTTTAAACTAAAATTTTTGTCCAATTTATTGTAGATCACACAGTTTTATCTTATTATTATCCATATTAATTAATATTCAGTAATATGGAATTCTTTATATTTCTGAACAACTTAAAATTGTTGTGATTTATTGGAATTATCTTGTTGTGTTTTTATTTTTATAATAAAATAATGTTCATGAAAAAGTATTCTGGCATTTTTGCTTAAATTGTGAAATTTTCAGTTATTCTTATTCATACTCCACCTTCTGGTTTTGAAATCCTGTTTGCTATATATTTTCATTTTTGTTATTGATGTAAATAGTATTTATAAATAAGCAAAAGCTTTAAACTTTTTTTACAGTTATTGAATCAAAGAAAATGAAACTGTAAATTAAGTTATCAAATTGAAAAAGAATATGCCTGAAACTCCTAAAATGAGAGCTCAGATTTATTGTGTTGCTCAATTTATTTATTAATTTTCTGTTATTTAAGAATGTTAATTAGTGCTAAATGTAGAAAACATATCTTAAAATATGATGAGCATTGCAAATTATACTATAAATCAAATTAATTTGCTTTTTGATTCTTTAATAGAAACTGATGTGCTGTTAGATTTGATTTGTTTCCATTTTAGATTATAAAAGAAAAACAAAGTAATATTCCAAAAACAAAAAATTAAACCTGTCCTGTGCTATAGCTGCAAGATTAATGTAACTTAAACATAAAGCATCCAAAATTGAAATTAAATTGCAATAAAAAACTAGGCAATTCCATAATAATGTTATTAATTGCAACTGTGGATAAAGGTATATGTATATATATATATATGAGGGCTTTTTTTTTTTAAACCTCCGATGGGCTATAAAGAAAAGGCGGGTGACTATACAAAAAACATTTTATTACCAAAAGTAATGTACAATACAGGTTATTTCTCTACATAATCACCTTGATGATTGAGGCTTTTGTCATATCTGTGAACAAGCTTTGCAATACCCTCTTCATAAAATGTCACCGCCAATGATTGGAAGTGAGTTGTGATGGTTTCTTTCAGCTCCACGTCATTTTGGAAGCACTTCCCGCCAAGCCGCTGCTTCAATTCAGGGAACAGATGAAAGTCACTCGGAGCTAGGTCGGAACTATATGGTGGATGTTCAAAAAATGTCCCATTGAAATTGCTGAAGGAGCCGTTGGGCAACACAAGCGCTGTGAGGACGGGCATTGTCGTTGATCAGAACAATTCCAGAAGTCAGCATGCCTCTTCGTTTGTTTTGAATAGCTCTCTGTAAGCGTCGCAAAGTTTCACAATATAAATCTGCATTAATTGTTGTGCCAGGCTGCATAAACTCCACAAGCAACACAACTTTGTGGTCCCAAAAAAACAGTTGCCATAACCTTAGAGTTGTTAAAGGCTCGTTTGAATTTTGTTTGTCTCTTTGGAGAATTAGTGTGCATCCATAGTTGTGATTGTCGTTTTGTTTCGAGCGTGTCATATTGAAACCATGTCTCATCACCATTCACAATGGATTTCAAAAACTCTTCTCTGTCAATACTGTATCGGTCAATAAACTCAAATGCTGCAACCATTAGGCAAGTTTTGTATTCATCAGTCAACATCTGTGGGACCCAGCGAGCGCAAACATTTTTGTAGCACAACTGTTCAATAACGATAGAGTACAAGGAAGATCTTGAAACTTCCAGAAATTTCATCGATAATTCACTTATGGTGAACCTTCAGTTTTGCTTAACTGCTTGGCCAACTCGTTGAACAATGTCGTCTGTAGCGACAGACTTGCGTCCTTGACCCCTTTTATCATGCACATCAGTTCGACCATCTTTAAACTTCCGACACCATTCACGAACAACACCATCACTCATAAAGCTTTTTCCATACACTCGACTCAATCTTCGATGAATTTCCACTGCACTGTTCCCTTCTGCCTGCAAGAAACGAATAACAGCTCACAATTCACACTTGGCGGGAGAATCAATAGCGACAGCCATGTTTACGTGACTACAACTCAACAGAAAATGGCGTGTTGAATACGCCAGTGACAGAGTGTGTGGAGGGGTAGATGTGCAGTCGCCTACTATGCACACCAACCACCTGCTGCATACCTGGCCATCCTACTGTGCGATCAGAGGTTGAAAAAAAAAAAAAAAACCTACGTAATTTATTTACTAAAGAAATATTGATTATATATATATATGCATGCATGCCTAGTTAGAGACTTTGTGTGTCATGAATCTCATCTGACAGCTAATATTATATGAAAGAATTGTGCAATAATTGATGAGTAGGTTTGATGATTATCTTTCTTGGTGGGTTGTTTTTCTTTGACAGCTCTCAACAAACTGTACCAGCGGTATCTAAAGCAAGGATAGGCTGATACTTTTAACAATGGGGCAAAACGATCTTGTTTACTGCATCATGCAGGTAGGGGCGTGAAGATCTTTCATAATGCCCCTGTTGTTTGTAAGATGTGATGGGAAGAGGAAACCTCCCATCCTTGGTAGAAATTAAAATAAAACTGCAGTTAAAAAAAATTACAAATAAGTCATAAACAGAATTTAATCTTATTGGTCATCATATGATTGACACATATATTGTTTCATTTTTCAATTAAAAATTTAGAGTTTAAATTAAAAATTATTGTGTTCTTTCCATATGCTCCCTTTTCTGGTCAATCTTTTAGCTCGACAATATTCATATATTGGTGTTTAATTTCTAAATTAAAGCTGCTAGAAATGATAGGATTACATTATTTGGTAAATGTGCGTGCTTTGCACATTATTTGGTAGATATTTATGCACATTATTTGTAGATGCAGATTTCACAACTTGGATTGATTGCAAATGTAGTCATGCATATATATGCACATATACATTGAAACAGTAGTTGCATACTTGTGTCATTGCACAGGAGCCCATGCAACCAGCCCGTTTGCCTGGAATCGAACCCAGGTCAAAACTACCAGTGAAACAAATCTTAAAGTTTAGCAATTTTAACGCTTAGCCGCTGTTGGGCCTACCTCCAACCAGGACCTTATGGGTTAATTATTGATAACTGTATGTAACCAGTAAGCAATTCTCAAAATTTAATGCATCATCCTGTACTGGTGATCTGTTTCTTACTGAGGTGGTGCAATGAATATCAACTGCTTGGTCACTGGACAATGGCTGTCAACCTGGTACTATTGATCCATAGATTGATAATGACTAGTGACCAGTAGCTGTTACAGGTACCAATAAGCTTCTGTATAATTTTAATTTAGATTTAGAATTCCGTCTAAATTTACTCTGCTGCCTCTTATCAATGACCAACAGCCTTGAAGAATGTATGTGTTTAATTTCAAAATTTAACTATATTTACCACACTAACCCCACATTGGTGACCTGTAGGTTGACTCCAAATAATCTTAAACCTGTAGGTCACTAATGATCAATGATCTTGCTGGACACTGATGTCTTTCAAGTTAATTACTTTTCTTAAGATCTTTGGGTTTTCCTTCAGTCACTGACAGCCTTGCTAGGTGTGCTTTGATTTTATCTGGTTGTAACAAAAGTTTTCTGCGAAAAAAAGTGTTCTTAATAAAGTTAGAAAAAAAGAAAACATGAAAGTGGCACCTTTAATCACCACCCAAATCTATGATTTTCTGCCAATGTTTTGGTAGTCTTTCAAAGCCTTCAGCCCAGAAACTAGGTGGCTGTGAGTTCAAAAACAGATCAACCTCATTTCCAACATCCTGTGAAGAATGGAAAAAAAAAAAAAAAAAAAAAAAAAAAAAAATAGCAAGATGTAGCTGCAAATAAGAAAAAAGCTAGAAGTCCAAAGGAATAATGTTGCGGCTGTATGGTAGGTGGGACGAAAGATCCCATTCGAGTCAACAGAGTCCAGCCGGTGAATGCAGACACACATGGTCTTTGCATTATCTTGGTGGAACATTACCTGTTTTGTGCTGGAACGCAGTTCAGCTCAGAAACTAGGTGGCTGCGAGTTCAAAAACAGATCAACCTCATTTCCAACATCCTGTGAAGAATGAAAAATAGCAATAGCAAGATGTAGCAGCAAGTAAGAAAAAAGCTAGAAGTCCAAAGGAATAATATTGTGGCTGTATGGTAGGTGGGGCAAAAGATCCCATTCGAGTCCACAGAGTCCAGCCTGTGAATGCAGACACACATGGTCTTGCATTATCTTGGTGGAACATTACCTGTTTTGTGCTGGAACTCAGTTCAAAATTTTTCCTTGATAGCAGCATCAGCACAGACTAGCAGATTGCTGTTACACTTTACTGTCGAGGATTTTACCTTTTTCTAGATACTCTTTGTGGATAATACCATGGCAATACCACCAGATACGAAGCATGATCTTTTTGTTAGTCAAATTGCGCTTTGCAATGCTGCTGACAGAATCACCGGGCATAGACCAACTCTCTTTTTGGCCTGTATTGTTATCAGGATCAATGTTCCTTCTTACCTTCTTCGGGAACATGCAAGGACCTGACTCGGAACAGATAGCTTACTAAAGCTATGTTCAACAATTGTGGGAAGTAGACAGGATACACAAGAAGGGTATACAAAACCCTTTATTTTTCTCTATTTACAATAACTTCCGTACTTCGGAATACACAGACCCGCTACTTGGGGTCTAACGTAAAACTATAAAAATAGAACTAAACTCTAATTTAACTTTAAAATAATAAACGTGGAAGATTGGCCTTATATTAACAGGAAGCCGTATGTAGTACAGAGAACTGTGAACACTACAATACGTTTAAAATTTATCAAGAGGATTAAAACTCTGGCCTGGAAGGCAACCAGCAACTCCGTAAAACTTCTAAGGTAAGCGGCCTGCTTCGACTCACTGCTTCCTCTCTCTCGCTTGGCAAAAAGCCACAACTTAAATACTTGGCGTTCGCCAGACAAACTTTGCATAAATACTTTAACGCTTATAATTCTGGCCGGAAGTAGAAAATAAGAAGTGATAGTAAAGATTTAAAATAAAATAAACGTTAGTAAAACTTAAGATCCTGACATTGTTGTAATAAATCCACTTTTTATCACAAGTGACAATCTGGTCCGTGATTTTGTCCTTCGCTGATATTTGAGCATATTAGTGCAGGTGCAAACATGGGTGTCCTCATCTGCTTGAGTGAGCTCATGCGGCACCCAGTGATTGAAATTGTACATCGTTTATTCAATGCATAACGTGACTAATTGAGATGGCACTAATGTCTAACTCCTTAGCCAAGTTCTTTGGTAGTTACATACTGAGCTTCTCCCACAATTTCTTTCAGGCGGGCCTCATCAACATCAGAGTGCTCTGCTTCTTGAATGTCAAAGGTGGTGATGCTTCTTGAAGGTCATAGGTTGAATTTGGTGATATTCTGTAGCTGATCTTTTGCAACAGAACTGGAGATAAATGATGGTTCTAATCTGGTAGCATGATAGTTTCGTCTAATTTAGCACCTTGTACGAAATGATAACGATTTTTTTTCCCAAATTTCAGAGCACAGTGTTCTGAAGCAAGTCTCCTTTCAAATGCCAAAAATCACCTGACAAAATATGATTAAACGTACCGATGTTAACTATTTGCACAGACAATATTTGCGGTGACAGAAAACTTTTGTTAAAACCTGATATTTTAATTGCTGTTGTACATAATTTTACTGTGCCCCTCCGTGCTAATTACATTTGAGTTGAACCCATGTTGTTCTCAGTTTGTAGGTCACCATCAACCAGCAGCCTCAATGAGCACTATTATGCTTGAATTTAATTTTAATTTTAAAATTGTAATTTTTTTCTACTTACCACAACTGACAATATGAGAGGATCTCCATGAAGCTCAACTTTGACCCTGAACCTAACTAACTGCCTTGATGGACATTGATCTATATCAGCTTAATTTACAGTGATACTTTCATTTTCATTGGTGCTTGCTGCACAGTGGTGAATTGATATGTGGACCACAAGAACATGTCAACAACCAGTGGTCAGCATTTCTTGATGGGCACTTTAATGTGTAATCTTGTTTAGAAATTTCATTTAATGATATAATTTCAGATGCATATAACTGAAATTTTTCCAACTTATAGATAATGTTTTTGATATCTGCAGCATTATTATAATTAATAACAAATGTTTCTAAAGCCATATATTGTGTACCCAGTGCAAAGTCATTTAGGTTAAAATCCTCTCTGCTGTTACTCTTTACCTTTTGTAAAGTAATGTTGTTCTTTATAGTAATTTTACTTTAACCTTGTTAATCCTCATGAGAGAAAATAATGTAAATCTATGCTTATATTTAAAGAGAGATGTGGTTCTTTCTTATTCATTTCAGACAGCTTCTACATATTTTTAATGATCTTATCAGAAATTTTCTTTTCCTTTTCAACTGCATTTACAAATGATTATACTAATGCTAATTAAGTCTTTGGCTGATGCTAATTAAGTCTTTCTTTCTTTTTTCTTTATGTTTAATGAAGCACATTAAGAATAACTAAGTTTTAAAACCAATTAGTATTGACTGGGTGATTTGTAACACTGTAATGGCAGTTTTGGGGATCATTTTGTTTCACTTTCCCTCTTCTAAGATTTGTTCACACCCAAATGTGAAGGCATTTCATTCATTAGTAATGTGTAGAAAAGTAGCAAAAGGTGAACTGATTTGATTGCCATAGATGTTCTTGTGTGTATACAAGTGAAAGTGTTGTAATAACTAATATGTATTTAAATAATTGAAAATATATTATATTTTTTATTTAGTTTATATATTTTAGATAGAAAATTTTTTAGTTAATTTTAATTTAGTTTATATTTTTATGACTACAATGCATTAAATCTTATTGCTTTCAAATTCTATTTGTTTCAAATGTGTTTTTAAATTACATTTTGTTTACCATTCTTTAGGTTGCCCTGCATTATCTAGAGGTACCTTCTCTCTATCATCAAGGCATTCTGTCATCATTGTTTTGAAAGAGATTCAGACTATAATAAAAAATGTATTACGAGATATATTTCCCAAAGTATATGTACAAATAAATGATCCTTTGACTTCAGAAATAGAGTACATTCCTTTCAATCCTTATACAGTAAGTAATGTAGCTATTACATATCTGTCTTCAATGAATTCGAAACATAATTTTTTTAAATCGATAATTTTTATTAATTCAGATCGCTTAATTTTTTAATATTTAAGGTTTTATTACATAACTTTTGAGAGATTTTCATTAAAGCATTTTCGACATATTTAAATTTTTTATTCATATTATTTAATGTAGAAAAATAATTTATAGGTAAAAAAAACATTAGGTTTTAAACTGAACTGCTGATAAATAAATATTGATTTTAAATTTTTATTTTATTACCATTTTTTTAGTTTTGAAAATTGTAGCTCTTTATTCAGACTCACAAACTTTGATACATAAATCTTATTTATTCAGTTAAATGCTGCTGCATATATTTTTTGCATTATTGTGACAAAATTATATTCACACACATGTATAAATAAATCTGTTAATGCACTTTTAACTCTTCATTTGATGTATTTTCTGATATTATCACATATGAAAATGGATGGTATGGAAGAATTGTATGTATGCAATTTTATTACAAATTTGGTAAAAGAGATAAACTTAATGTTGCACCAATACAAAAAAGTTTAATAGCAATCACATAGGTATAGAATGTAGCATCATTTCTTCATGTGTCATTTAGCTTAAGGAAAATATGATCTTCATTAATGCTAGGTATGTTTGTTAACATTTTGAAAAATATTTTGCTTATTTTAATATTTATTTTGCATATCCAATCTTTCTGACTAATTGCTTAGAAAATAGATTAAGATATTATTCAGAGCTTATTTAGTGTGACTGATATTTTGTTTTGTTCTGTTTACTGATATTCTGTATGTTGACTTTTTTTTTGTTTGTTTGTTTGTTTTTGTTTGCTAAATTCAGAGTTAAATTGAAAGTATCTTCTATTTATGCAATGAAAGTTTCTTATTTTCTGTATACATTTCATATTAGGTTATTTAATATTGTTATTTTTGAATATTTGTAATAGAATACAACATCCGAGGATTCTGAGACTAGAAAACCTGGATCAATTAAAAGTTTCATAATTATTGGAAGAAATGAGAAGCAGTGGAGAGCATACTTGGGGCATAGTGAATTTTTAAAGTTTCATGAATCTTCTGTTGAGAGTGAGAACTGATTAATTATGTTGCTTATAAGTTTTTTATCTGTAATAATAAGTATAACAAGCAGTATCTATACTAATTCAGAAGTCAAACAACAAAAATCAGCGTTATATTTACCAAATTTTCACAGGACTAGTTTCGATGGTTTGTTGTTTGACTTCTGAATTAGTATTTATTCGGCGTGTTATTGTGTCTTAAGCAGTATCTATAATAATAAATAGCAGTATGCATATTTTTTGCATGGAAAAAGATGCATTAAATATATGTTTTACTATTTCTAGAAAACATAATTAAATAGTATATAAGCAAGTTAAAATGTAAATTAACTTTCCCCTTTCTTTGCTGTTTTTAAATAGATTTTATAAAACTCTTATTTATTCATAATTTGTGTCAAATTTATGACCACCTAACAACTTTATGCAGATCAGCTATAATGTTGTGCTGTTGTAACTGAATAGCGAAATTGATTTAAAAAGGAATCACAGAATGATTGTCAAGATTTCTAAAATGTATTGCTCATGGTTTAAAAAGCTATTTAACTTATTTTGAACCATTTTATGTTTATGGTTTAGAAAGCTGTTTAACTTATTTTGAACATGATATAAATTTAGTGGCTCAAAGCTGTAGAACAGTTATCCTTAAAAATAGCTGTAGTAATGAGTATTTGAGGTTCATATTTTGCAGAAGGTGGATAAAATGAAAAATTTGATCTTGTTGTAATTTTTGTGGTCTTTATTGATTATTGTGCACTCATATTGAAAGATAATTCAACAGGAAGGTAGTTATATTTTAAATTGCAGCTAATAATCAGGGACAATTCCACTTGCTTGTAAATGTGTTTTTCACTACAGATTGCAGCATTTGAGGTGCAGAAGCTCAAGACTTCTTTGAAAATTTTGATGTTTACAGCTAACAGTATCAAAACATTTTTAGTTTACACAGTGAATAAGCCAAGGGCCATAGGATTTTAGGAATCATGTTTCCAGTTGCACTAGGCAGATTGCAGGATAGGAATATGATAAAAACAATGTGAAAGTATGGACTTTAAGTGCTTTGTCACAATACTTCATATTTGTGGAGACAATATTCTTGTTTCGGGGGATACTTTCTTGGAATTGCTTCAGCTCTTTAATTCATATGAAATAATATCTAAGTAATTAAGATACAATAACACGCCAAACAAATATTAATTTAGAAGTCAAACAACAAAGTCATATTATTTGTATTTTCAAATTTGAAAATGTAATGCTGATTTTTGTTATTTGACTTCTAAATTAATAATATCTAAGTGTTCAAATGTGCTTAAATATGTTGCCTGACCATATGTTGCCAGTATATTCAGAATGCTTTATTCTTCTGTATATACTTCCAGTCAGATATATCATTAATAGTGGACAGAATATTCTTAGACTCTTAAGTACTACAGATACTCCATAGTTTCTAGTGAAATTTCTTAGAAACTACAAGCTGTGAAAAATACTTAAAAAAAACTGCAGATTTTACAGAAAGGGGGCAAGGGAAATGGTATGTGAAATGGACCAATGTATTCTTTGAATGGTTGGTGAAATGCTTGTGGCATCATGCATCACATGTTAAGGTGATGGTTTTGCAGGTTTTGAAAAATGGCCAGTTGGAGATACACAAATTCGACTGTTATCTTTCCAATCAAGCACCCTGCAATAAAGAGCTTGTTTAACCTGCAAGTGCTGATAGGTTATATTATGGCAAGAAATAATTAGCATGTGCTCTTTGTGAGTTTTGATCGAACTGGAGTTTTCTAAGTCCTTTTTAGAGACGTTAGGATTTTTTTAGGCGGGAGATGTGAAAAATGAGCATCGCCCTCGCCGGGACTCAAATCACAGACCTCTTGAATACGCGCTGAGTGTGCTGACCAATACACCACGAAGGCCTGCTAAGAAGGCGGGAGAAATTCCTTATATACAACCCCCTTTTAAAGGGTGACTTTTGGATTAGGGGACTGAATCGCCAAATCCTGGTGGTGGAGAATCATCATCTACCACTTTTATTAGTTTGGTTGCCATTGTAGAGAAATTTGGTATTTTTTTTAAAACAGGAAAGAGGAAAAATGAGGAATGCCTTTGCTGACCTCTACACCATGAAGGCAAGAAAATTACCTTATACCTTGAACCATGCTGCCTCAGAATAAGAGGGGAAAATTATCAAGTGAGAAATTTAAAGACTCGTAGTCTACAGAATGCTATTTAATTCAATTTTTAATCGAGTACAGCTTTTGAATTTCAGTTTTCGACCATTTGAAGCAGCGGTTAAACACCATGTTTCCAAATTCTGCTGTAGCAAAAGGAAAAAAAAATACCTCATTCAAATGCAACATGTGAAAGAATTTTTCTATTATAAAATAAATAAATAAATAATTGGCTTTAAAGTTAATGCAGGCAAATGAAGGGCCATGTTTTAGAAAAAGATTAATTCAGAACTTAAGCTTGCTACTTTTAAATCTAAAGATTTTGTATTTATAAATGGATTATAAGGATTTTATTGATGTTTATATGTATATCTCTTTGTCTCTATCTAGAATTTAAATGTTGTTATTTGCATGAAGAAAACCGAATTTAAAAGCCTCATAAAGATATGCGATTTATGGATTCTAATTTCCTCTATGAATATTTGTTATTTAAAATATTTGCTTCAATTTCTGATTAATGTACATATAATTTTTAAGAAGTATTTTTAATTATTTTATTTTTTTAAATTTATAGGTTTTATTAATTTTGTATTTAATGGCTCATTTAAAAAAGTATGGTATACATGCACATTTTCAAAGTCATAAAAATACTATTCACTGATGACTAGTGACAGGTTTTGTTGTAAGTTGGACTCTAAATATTTAGAGTTCTAAAAAACTTTTAAAATGTATTTAAAATATTCTAATTGGGCATAAATAAGCATTGCTTAGATATAAAGCAGGGAAAAGGGACAGGAAAATCAGCCTTTTACATATTACATATATTATTTGTCTTTATGCGAAACATAGTAGTTGAAAAAGTGCATTAAAAAATAGAAATTCCGAAATATAATTGCCATACTATTACAAAATAACGTTATATAAAATACATTAATTATATTACCTTATAAGGTATTTCTCCCGCCTTCTTGGCATGCCTTCATGGTCTGCATGATGGGAGCGTATTCCAGAGGTCCGTGGTTCGATTCTCGGCGGAGATGTTGCAAATTTTTCATCTTGTCTGCTTCCAAAAAATGCTAATGTCTCTACAGTGGCGCCCAAACTAAAAGGGTGGTGGATGATGATATCCCCACCCCAATATTTGGCAGTTGGGTCCCCTACCCCAGTCGCACTTTAAAAGGGGAAGTATATAAGGTATTTCTCCCATCTTCTTGGCATGCCTTCATGATGTGGTGGTCTGCACGCTGGGCACGTATTGGAAAAGTTGTGGTTCGATTCCCGATGAAGGTGTTGCTAATTTTTCATCTTGCCTGCTTCTAAAAAATCCTAATGTCTCTATAGTGGTGCTCGAACTAAAAGGGTGGTGGATGATGATTCTTCCCACCCAGAATTTGGCGACTGGGTCCCCTAAAAACCTGAGTTGTCTTTAAAAATGGGAGTATATAAGGTATTTCTCCCGCCTTCTGGGCATGCCTTTGTGGTGTGGTGGTCTGCACACTGGGCGCGTATTCCACAGGTCCGCAGTTCATTTCCCGCCGTTTGCTTATTTTTCATCTCTCCTGCTTCCAAAAAATACCTAATGTGTCTACAACCTAAACTGTTAAATATAAATGTTTTTTAAAAATCTGATGTTTCTTTTCAAAAATTTTACTGACATCTTAGCCAGTGTGGTGCAAAGCGATTTTATTTGTTTTCCGACTGTAATAGAAGGAGATTCAAAGGATAAAGTGCAAGTTACCATTGTGCTTTCCTTGGTTTTCATCTGGAATGAACATAGAGGCATAAGTTTTTGAGCTTTCTCATTGAATTTATGATGGTATTAGCAATTGGAAGAATTCAAAATATCTTTGGGTGAAAGGCTTTGCTTTCTGTTAAAGCGATTTTTAGAAACGCTATGGGATTATCATTGAGACAATAATACTCCACATAATTTGCACACTACATCCAACAAACAATGCAATTTAGAATTATTAGACACAATGACTGATAGAAGTAAAGAAACTGTACTTAACTGAGTGGATATGATTTCTGTTATTTGATGTGCAATACTGGCGGCTTTCGAAGAATTAAGTTGTTCAACAGACATGAGGATATATTGGGTGTTTAGCAGCATTTGCAGAAAAAAGAACTCGAACAATGAGTCGAATATATTGTGCTTTTCAGGATGCTTTTTCATGACACAGAGCAATTCAGATGACTTTCTGTCTCCAGGTTTTCAGATCTAGATAAGAAGATAGTGCTCTCCTAAGATATGATGTCTGGAAGCAAAGGAGGACTCTCTGGCAGCAAATGAGCAATGCAATATTTGAATTTCGTCTTGGGCTCTGTAATAGACATAGGTGTACCTAAAGCAAAAGTTGATTCATTCATACCAAACCACAGTTCAGGATCTAAAGGATCATAGATTAGTAACTTTACTGCTGCTGTGTCGTCCATGATAGTGGTTGATGCATAGAAAATGAAAGACTTAAAACAAACAACTGCTGCAATGAATATGAAGCTTTATGCATGTAGAATGGGTGTCCATTTTAAGGTGATTTTGGTATGGCTTAATGTTGGTATGGCTTGCACATTATGACGTCATCTGCATATTTGTAATCCAGAACGGATGTAAAGCCTGTTTTGTAACCTGGTTGCACGTTCAGCAGTTGCAAAACAATATGATGTTAGCTGGTAGTGCATGCAACTGAACATGAGATGCCAATTCAGTCAGCCTGTAACTTTTTAGGAGGATTTAATCAGATGTACAAAGTTCTTGCTAGATGCAAGTTATTAAAAGTTATGTAGTTGAAAATTTTATAACATTTTGTAATCTTTCTCTGTATGGAACTTTCTGCTAAATAAATGTGCATGTTTGTCTAGTTTTGTTGCATTTTCATCCTCTGAATTATCATGGCAAAAAAATGATAGCAGCAGTATTGTAAATCCATTGTATGTTGACTGCTGCAAAATAATGCTCTGCTGTGGTAGCCTACTGCAGACTGTTGACATTCTTTGAGATTGATCACTAAGTTATAGCTTTTGAATCGGCAGGTGGGGCCATTACCTGAGAGGGGTATTATTATTGTAGTCTTGTACTTCCCAGTGGCTCAGTTGTTTGTCATCTGCCTTTAGATTGAAATTAGGGGGATTCACAAAAAAGTTTTTGTATTAGAATATTCAAGATAGCATTATAAGAATTGCCACATACTTCAATGGACATGAATGGCCATTCCTCTTTTGCCTCTTGTACAAGCAGACAACCAGTTGCATCACAACAGCACTGACTAGATTCTTAGGCAATTATGCTGTGCAACCTAGTGGCTACCAATTATATCCGTATGGAAGCCTTGTGCCCTCTAGCTTGCAGATGTTATAGCACTGAAAGACAATGCAGGGAATAGAGTGGTATTGTTTCTTGCAGCGAAAGCTAACAGTTTCTTTGGTACTTCAGGATGAAGCTTAGCCTTTAGTATGATTGTTTCATATTCAGCGCATAAATTCTGGAGATTCCAAATCAACTCTGGCTACAACAGCCAACACTGGCACTATCTTTGCCAGCAATTAAAAAGCACATTCCCTAAATTGTTCCCTATGCTATTATAATACCAATTGCTGGCATAGATAGCCATAATAAAAGACAATATTCTGGGCATGAATTCACTGGGAATTTTTAGCATTCCCTGACAGCTTGTTATACATTGGTCAGATAAGTTATGCTTTAAAATTTTTCAACAAAGAACATGCATCCCACCATTAGAAAAAAAGAAGTAAATAAATCATGCATTCTACAGAAGTGTTGATCTGCAAACCATAATATTTTTTTCTGGTTTTACTAAAATTATCTAGTAAACTTCCTTAGTTGGTTTAGATTTCCTTTAGGCATGTCCAGATTTTCTCTTTTTTACTCAATGATTCAAACTCTAACAGGTATTTTTCTCCAGTAGAAAAAGGATCAGGGCTTGATCTGATACTATTTTCCATCCATAAATGTTGTTGTGTACTTTATTTCTTTTTGTTCTTTTTCTATTTAGCTATATTATAGTGAATATCAGCATAATAACAGAAAAATTCTTGAAGAATTCATTAAGTTCATTCTGCTTATGGTAATCAACTTTTCTTTAGTTGCAGCTGAAGAAGACTTTGAGATAACTGCCAAAAGCATTTCTGCTTTAATAATTCATATGGCAAGTGTGTTCTTTTCTTGAATTTGATTAATTTTATGTGGCGTGCATTCTTTACTAAATATAGGTTATTTCAAGAGCAATGTAGGTATTTATTTGAAGAACAGGTTCTACCAAATCAATTTTAACGCATATTGAATTCAGGATATTTTAAAAACAGTCCTGAAATAATAAAATTTACAAAAATAAATACATATCATTAAGTTCAGAGAGTCAGTAAAATAATATTAATGTTATTACAAACCACAAGAAAAGGTGCGACATAATATGTACAGCCTGTACACTACTGCACAGCCCTCTCTTCTGATAAGAGTTTTCTATTCTTGGATTTTTAATAAAAATTTTCCACATTTTGACTGTTTCACAATTTTGGGTTATTTATTAAACATCAATTCTTAAATAATCAATCATTTAGTCACTGTATAAAAAATTTATAAATGCAATTCTGTAATATTAGCAACTGCGTATTTCATGTAGCAATTTTACTTTCCTCTTAGGTATCAAAACATATCAAAAATATCAGACCCATGTTTGCACTCGTCAAAATTTGGATACATTTCAAGAATCAGGACTGAATTCCCCCACACATGCTAACAAATCTGTTACATCTGCCAGTCCTCATCAAAAGAGTTCTGCTGCATACGCTTCTGATCGCTCTAGCAAACCTGCAGTTTATTCCTCATTTGTTCCTCGACAGCGTCTTTTTCTCATGTATGTTCAAGACAAAGAGGTTAGTTCATTTTGAAATTTTTTATATATTCTTTCATATCTACAGAATATCTTAGTATGATGGATAAATTTCTATGCATGATAGTAATCCGTCATACCAATTTAATGCTTCAAAATAAAGTAATGCTTTGCTTACTTCACTTGCAGATAGTTTTACATTTAGGTAAAGATTCATGGTTCCAAACACAAAAATATAAAGTATTTGAATTCCTACAAGTTAAAATTAAATCTCAACATTATTCCATTTAGCAAACAAACTGAATTTTAAAAGTTTGAAAATTTTGTTTCATACATTAAAAGTTATTTATTTATTTTTTCTTAATAGTAGATCAAAGGGAAGCTAATTTACATTTCAGAAGATTTTTCAAACATAATAAGTTAATTTACATTTTAAAAGGGATTTTTTTTTTCTAACATAAAAGGAAGCTGATATGCATTTTAAAAAACCTTTCAACCATTAAAAAAGAGGAGGCTAAAGAAGAAGCTAATATATACGTATATTAAAAGATTTCACAAGATAAGAGAAAGTTAATTTACATTTTGAGAGATTTTTCTCAAACATTAGAAGAAAGTTTCTGGCTGCATTTTGTATTCATGAAATTTAGTATTATTTTCTTAGATTTGCAGTTTAGCAAAAAATTGCAAATTACTTAAAAAAATTTTCATTTTAGCTTTAATTTTATGAAATAGTTGAGAAGACAAGTAGCAATAGGTAGGCAAAACAGAAAAGGTAATGAGAACATATAGGAAGAGAAAATTCTAAATAAATAAATAAAGTGATTGACCAAAAGTCTGCTGTAGTTAAGAATTACAAAAATGTGAAAATTAAGAATTCACATTTAAAAATAAAATATTAGCATTAACAAAATAGAGGGGATTGCGCCAAAAAGAAGATGCCAGAAAAATAGGAATAAAATTATAAATGTTAAACCAAAAAAGGGGGTAAAAAGCAAAATTCTTAACTAAAATCTAAACATTAGCAAGGAAAATCTAAACTGGATAATTTATTAAGCCTCTAAGTGCCATAAAGCTGATCCAGCAGATTTATAATTTATTGATTAATCCATTGACTCATTACTATTTTATTTTCAGTTTGCCTGTTTGCATGTTTTTCTTTTCTAAAAGAGAGATTACTTTAGTTGATCTTGGCTGGATTATTAACTAAGCATAAATCTTTTCTCTGTGACTGAACAATGTACAAGTTCAGGCTAATACAAGAAAAAGTACAATACTAAGTCTTAATTTACAAATTGACATTTGACTTTCAGATTATTAGATTCCTTTTTGTCATTTATTTAAATGCATTAACAAGTCTGCAAATGCCTTGTTTAATTATTGAATTAATTACTGTAATAATGATGTATAGTTATATATATATAGATAGATATATAGATATATACCAGTTTCAGCTGTTGAATGAGTGTTGATTTGAATGTTTGAATTGATGAATGTTTACTTTGAATTGATTGTTGTTTATGAATGAATTTAATGTTTGCTTGAATGTTTACTTTCTATTTATTTGAGTGAAAGTTCAGTGATTTTGATAAAAGAACAAAATCAGTAATTTCATTCATTTTTTAATCACCGATTATATTAAAAATTGGAAGTATTTAAAAACAACATATTTTGCATTGTTTATTAGGTATTAAAAAGTTATACATTTTTTACAAGAAAAGTATGTGGACACCAATTTTTTTAATGTATATTAAGTTTATATTACTATTGAACTGTTCACTTCCTGAAGAAAAATCTTTGCTGTCTGCTGCTGTAGGGGAAATTTGTATTTATGTTAATAATCTATGAGGTGTGCTAACTTTTGGAAGATGAATACTCATTGTGCTTTTTACAACATTATGTGAGTATTTATCTGGCAAAAGTTAGCACATGTTGTAGCTGGTTAGTGTAAATACAGATGCAGAGTTCTTGCTTGTATTTTGATATATTTTATTGTCTTTCGTAAAGTAAGACATTTTTATGTAATATTTATTTTAATCTAACATTTCTGTTTTTTGTAAAACGTGAAATAGTGATTAATTGCAGAATGATTTTGATAAAAAAATTTTAAAAAGCAAATGTTTGGAATAAAAATTTCTGGCAACAGCTTGTTATTTTGAAATAAAAAGTATCATCTGCTACTTTTAAATTTATTCTTCTTTCAAAATGTTGTAATGTAAAAAGCTGTGGATTGACTATGTTGTTGTGACTTATCTCAGTTGCCTGACAGTGACATAGCACACCAAGGGGGGAGCTCCAACGGTCCCACCAACCTCTTGAGAGAACTTTTGGCTCGCTGCGTATTTAGAGTGCCTGCATATCGCACAGACACTACACATTTGCAAACATCCATGCCTTCTCTGGAATCGAACCCAAGCCCTTCGGTGTTGCAGTAAGCTTCCCTGACCACTGTACTGTCTGGCTAGCCAGTGGATTGAATTGCACTTTCTGAAAAGAAATATTCCTATTCTGTAATTCAAACATGTTGTGAAATGTGTAATGTTAAAGTTTCTAAGTGCAAAATAAGCAGTGTTTTAATAAGAAAAGGAAAAACAATCAGTTGTCACTTCTGTATGGAAAGAAGACTTCAAACAAATACTCAAAAGGGGTACATTCTGTTTTTAATGTTTCTAAAATTAAATCGTTATTAGCAAGAGAAAATCCACTGACACATAAATCAGTTGCAGACTTTTTAATTACATATGTAGCAAGAATAAATAAGATTATAAACCAAGCTATACAATTAAAAAAAAAAAAAAAAACATGGTGTTCAGTGGCTTTTGCTGAGGCATGTGGCTTAACAAAGAGCAATTTATAAAACTCTGCATCTAAAAAAAAAGGGGGGGAGTGTTTATTATAGAAAATGAAGAGGAAAAAAAAATATGAGTCTGGTTCAGTCAATTCAAATAAAGTTTCAGTAAAGGACTATCACAGGATTCTCTTGCAATGGAAATTTAGAAATAAAAAGAGTGGAAAAAAGTGTTAAATCTCAAGCAACATACTATCATACTACAAGTTTTATGTTTGATATTTGCAGAAAAAATACTGATCTTTACCCCACTGATTTTCAAGTAGTGAAACTTTATCAAGACAAAGCAACAAGCCATACTTCAAGAAGTAACACTGAATTCCTTGAAAAAAGAAGATTGATACAGGATTTGAATCTGTACCTATTGTGTCTTTGTTCTCTTGAAAAGAGCTCTATAGCTCTATCTAAGTGCATATCTACCGCAATTGATGAACTCAGGAAAGTAGTGGAAGAGGAATGGAAATCAATACCTCTGAAAGTTTTATGAAATGCCTTTCTGTCATGGAAATTACAAAGCAAACTTATAGGCCAGAAAAGAGGCTATCAGACTGAACATTAAAAAATATTGTTTACATTTTAAACATTAATTAAATAGCCCCCAAATCATTCTAAAAGTGTGTAAGCATCCTGTGTACAAATGGATGAAAAATTATTTTTTAAGTACGATAACACCCTGAAGTTACATGGTAGGTAGGTCTGACAAAAAGTGCATAAGTCTGGGTCTTTGTCCTATTTTAAATAAATAAATCAAGGCTTGAAAAATATATGTTTAGAAAAGAGCATATAATGAAAAATAAACATGTTACATAAAGCAGAGTATTTGATGATGATGGCTTCATAAAATTTAACTAATTCCTGTGATGATTCAGTTTTTAATTATAAAGTAAAAAAGAAAAAGAAAAAAATAGAAGAAATAATGAAATATCAAAATCCATTCTTCACCTTTTTTTCTGTGCCAAAGATTAAAGCAATAACTGCATTTTGCAAATAGACTTAGAATAACTGCATATGAACCCAGTTGTAGTTGTGGAGTTTTAGCATAAACTATTCATACTTTGATGCATATTATTTCTTTAAAACTTCTTCTAAGATATGAGCAAAATAATATGCTGTTTATCAGTATTTTCTGAATTACAGACAGTTTTGCATGCAAAGCAATTGCGAGCATTAATGTATAAAATAAAATGAGCAACATAACCATGAGTTCACTTTAGTTAAGGTATTACAGTATAAACGTTTCATAAAGATGGCCAATATGGTGACATGAATGCTTATTCAATATATTTATTTGTTAAATTCTCTACTTTTTTAATTATACTGGTATTAATTATTTTCAAAATGTGTATGATTCATCTGAAATACTTCTGGCATCTGAATTTTGTTAAGGTAATTTCTTTACAATGTACCTTTTTGTCTTCTTTGAAAGAATTCAATTCAATGATTTCATTTTAGGTTTCTTTTTACCTGAGTACATGCTGTTGTAATTACTAATTTCTACCTTTTTTATACTAAAGTTGTCAGCATTAAAAGTTAGTCCTTAGTAATTGTAGTAATCATTCTGAAACAAATAATGTCTACATACAATTTCTGTCAGATCTTCATCACTCTAGGTAAAATTTTCCTTTGTTCAAAAAATATATCTGGCAAGTATTTTCAATCCTCATTTAAGTATTTTATGTGTTTATATGTTGTTTTAAATTATAATTTAATAAAAGAGAACAATGCAAAAGAAAGAATAAAAACTTTATACATACTGGAAGATAAAACATAGTATATGGTCATTTTATATCAGGATTGCTAGCTATTGAATAAGCAAAAATATTGATTAGTGTATAGAATTATGATGTTTGAATGAAGGAATAAGAATATTCAAAGAATAGTGTTCAGTGTCTTCTGTGCCATAAAATTAGGATTAAGCTTGCAGGTTTGAAAGAGTCAGTAAGAATAAAAGACCTAAAGGGTATTAAAAATTCAAAGGAGAGGCAGCATACGCTAGCATTTATTTAAAGGAACTTTTTTTAAATTTACTTTCATGCCCCATGAAATATCAAACAAGTTAGAGCTGAAAATGTTTCTAAGCTTGTGTTTATATTCAGCTCTAAATAGAAATGCCAATAATTAACATTTAATATGTAAACTGAAAACAAGAATAAAATATTATGAATATAGGTAGTGTGTGGATTCTCTGCTGATATTTCTTTAAAGGCGTTTCATCTCATTTTAGCCATTGTAGTCATCAGAATTATTGAGTAATCTGTTTAATGTGGTGCTAGTAAAGTTTATAACATGTTTTAATAAAAGATTGATGTAACTAGAAGCTACAATACTAATTAGTACTGATCAGAACTGCAAATTTTTATGAAAAATTTATTAAAATATAAGGAAATAATTTTATTTTTTAATCAGATTTAAATTAAATAATTTTATCATGTTTTTATGTACTTTAGCAGTAAATGTATATAATCTTGACTTTTTTCAAATATTATTAAATCCAGTGCTTTGAATCTGCAGCAAAATAATTACAGTTAAGTTCAACTGAAAATGTTGGAGTAAACTGGATTCAGGAGTATAATACATTCAGACTAGATATCAGTTTATTTCACTCCTTGATCTACTAACTTCCAGTGTTTAAACATATTTATTTTGTTTGCATTAATAAATGTTTAATTAGACATTAAACATTGTGCCTTAATTCTAAATGCAGCATATGTTTTTAATGTGCACTTACAAGATCTTTAGTCAGTTTCAGGTGAATCTAAACACTAACTGATCAGGAACATGTGTATTCAACTGACAGGCAGTGATTAAAAATAGACATCCCTAATAAATACTAATAAATGATATATTGTTGGAAGACAAAATATTTTCATGATTAAATTAATTAAATTTTAATCTAATTAATTATTTTAATGTTTATTTATTTAATGCTGTATGTAATGCTCTTTTTGAATGCAATGCATTTTAAGTATTTAAAAAAGTTAATAATTATTAATATAATTAACAGTTAACTAAAATAATAAAAATACTTGATTTTTTAATTTTAAATAATTAAATTAATTATTTAGTTTATTTATTTTTGTGCAACTACATTTTAATTTATAGCATTAATTTTAAATATTTTAAATTATTTATCTATTTTAATTTATTTATTAACTTTGTTTTTAGGTAATTAATTTGCCCCTGAAAAGCCAATCTGTATTGTGTTCAAAGGCATTGGCTTATATCTGCCTGTATTTCATCTGCACATTATATTTTGATTTTATGAATCCTTTTAAAAAAGTGCTTTACTACAAGAGGAATGGTTTGTCACATTTTCTAACTTTTTACACCGAAGTATGGCTCTCTCTTTTTCTTTTAATTTAGATTACTCTTTTCCTGTATAACTGGTCATCAGAAATTAGTCAGAATTTATTAAGCCAACTTACAAGATTAGTCAAGTGGCATCAACAACGGAATTGCCTTTTAAACAACATTGTACTTCAAAAACTTGGTGTTTTCCATGGGGTATCTAGTTTGCAGCATGGAAGTGCAGAAAAGTCTACAAAAACAGATAAATCCAAAGTTAGTAATTTTAATATTAATATATTTTTCATTTATTTTAATGGTGATCCTTTTCTTTCTTTTTTCCCCCGCCCCTCCCAAACTGCTGAAGTTATGCCATTAAAATGATGGATTTATGTAATGTTTGAAGGGCAAGAAGAAAATTTTAAATTTCTCTATGGTTATTATTTAATTTTCTCCTGATTCACTGGCATTTATTATTGTGAGGTGTCAGCTGATTTACTGTTGGTATAACATTTTATCAAAACAGTAATAATGCTACAAAAATGATGCCTGAATGTCTACAAATGTCTAATAAAAATATGAAACATAATTATTAATCATTTAGTCATAACCCAACTCTGTACTGCTACTTCTTTTTGGCTACAGATGCTAATATCAACAGTTCATAAAATTCTGTTAAGATTATGCTATAAGGTTTATTGCTGCAAGCTAATTATAACTACTCCTTGTACCAAATAAAGCCCATACAGAAATTAGTCGAATATTGGGATGGGAATTTTAAAATATTTGAATTTATGTGGATGTTTAAAAATATTTCAGTTTGTTACAATTTTAATAGATTTAAAAAATTTTTATTCTAATTTTATAGGTATTTTCCATATTAAAGAGGGGGAAGAAAATTTAAAGCATTATAACTTTTAAGTATTTAAAGGAAATGTAAAATAAAATTCGAAATTTTTTGTGTTGCTATATTTTGATCATGGTAAAGTTTAATAATTATATTTAGAATTTCATGTTCTTGTTATTTTAATGATTTGATGTTGCATTTTTCACTCTTTTTAGATGGTTAATTAGGTCTGTAATGGACAACTGTTTTTTTTTTAATCTATTTATTGTAGAATTGCCAAAGTAATTATCTGGATTATTATAGCATGAATTTTCTACAGTAATAAGGTTTTACAAGATCTAAGGAACAAAACTGTTTGGTGTATATTTTAGAAATAAAAATTGTTAGTACCCAATAAAAATAAAAATATTTTCCAGTGTTTAACTCTACAGTTTTGTAGCAATGTTCTATATGTATATGAAATAAATGGCTTACAACCATAGAGACTAAAATTGATACTTTCAGCATTAAACTTCAGAAGGTTTAGATAAATATGAATCTGAGTTGTTTCTTAAAAACAGATATTGAACAATATTATTTTTGCTTAGTTTGAAAGTTATGTATTTCTAACATATTTATTTTCTTACTTTTTAGAGTGTTCGAGAATCACCTGATGATTCAGTTAAATTAAGTTATATTGAACAGCTAATTAACAATCATAATTTTAGCAAAGAATCACATAGCACAAGTTCTAAGTCCTTAACTGTGAGTTTAAAACCTGTGTATGTTAGTAAAAGTCTGAAAAATGCAAGACCAATCATCCCTTTTCATTTGAGTTCAAGTGCTGATGTAAAGGACCCTGTAAAAGCTCATGGAACACAGTTTTTGGAGACAATCTCAGCTCAAAGACGAGGTAATTGTTTATTACATAATGTGTGTTTATTCATAATTTCATGAAACATTTTTTAAAATTCACAACAGTTAAAATACACAACTGATACAAAATTTGATTACTGTGAAAGAGAAGTAAATTCTTTTTACATTTTCACAACACTGTGTCCATTTTTGCTGATATTTATTACTGACAAAACACAGCACAATTGAACAAAATCAATGACAATTACTTCTTCAACAATACAGTTGTTTAGTTAGACTGCTTGACACCATTTGCAAAAATTTCTCAATTGAAACTGGTCACAAATACGGAGTATTTACAAAAGTAACTCAATCAAAATGTACCACAAAACTTAGCAGAACATTCAAGATAAAGAAATAATCATCTTTTCTTGTGGAATTTTACTGTCTTCATATCTTCATTAAAGACTACAGTGGTTTATGATTAAATGTGTTTGAAGGTTTTGCATATTGCACAGAATTATTTTAACACAAGTTTCATATATTCAACATTTTAATTATGTTTTAACAGGAGTTTCATGTATTCAATATTATTATAAATATTATTTAAAGGCAAATTTCATTATAATTGCAATTGTAGAATGTACAAAAGAGTCCCAGGTCTGGACTCTGTGATTCTGGGTATCAAAATTTTATAGATGTTAGATCGTCAGTTTAACTAAGATGAAATGTCGAAGTCGGTAAGATGAAATGTCGAAATAATAAAATTAAAATATGAAAATTTGTTTATGAAACAGAGAAGAATTCATGATCTTAAAAGAATCAAAATTTACCAAAATAATTCATTATTTATTTATTTACTTTGTTTAACATTTCTTCAATCTAAGTTACTTAAGTTACTTCACAAGTTCCATTGTTCAAGTTCTGTAATTGCTGAGTTGAAAATTCTCACTATATTGCCAATCGAAATTTTTTCATTCTCAGCAACCTTTTTGTAATTTTCTTCATTACTAGTAGCAGTGTTTTCTACATTTAGAACAATACTGCAGATTTCAAGTAGTGTGTCATTTTAGCATACCTTAATGCTTAGCAGTAAGTAAGGACTTGGACATGTTCTGCTAAACTTTGTTGTGCTTCTATTGCATGCTGTGGAAGTTTTAAACCTGAATTATATTCAATTGTTTATTATAATTATGTCTATTTTCTGCATATGCTTAAGGCTTACATGAATACCAAATAAAAATATTCCCACATATAATTAAGCCTTATCTAAATAACAAATCAGATATTGATAATTCAAATAACAATATTATTTGGAACTGTCCCTTTTGGAAATAATCTTTTGGCCCATGAATACAATTACAAAACCTTTTTTTTTTTTTTTTTTTTTTTTTTTTTTTTTTTGCACATGGTAAGAAATTTCTGTTAAATTTCTCCTTGTAAATAAACATACTCAGTACTTTGCAGCTGGCAGACATCTATAATCATTGCCAGGTGTAACAGGGTTTGTACGGTTCTTAAGAGTCCTTAAGTTTTTAAAATCGATTTTTGGTCTTTAAAAGCCCTTAATTTCGACGAAATTCGGCAGGAGGTCGTTAATTTTAATCGTGTGAAATTTCTGTCTGTTTTTATGACTGCCATTCTGAATGTGAATTAGCATTTTGGACAAATATTTTTGGCGATTCATTGACAAATTGAATGGGTGAATAGGTTCATGGGTTATAATTTGTTCCTATTTCTAATATAAACGGTGGGATACTCAAGTTTCTGAGCAAGAAGTGAAACACAAGCATTTCAAAATTATTTCATTTTTTTTAATGAACAGCTTTAAAACAACATTTCGTGTTTGGGAATGTGAATTCTTTATTAGACGGTTCCAAATTTGGTGACTTATCAATATTTTTGCGATTGTAAGATCAATTTCTATAGATAACTTTTAATTTGGAAATCTGGGAATTTTTCGACGATATGTTTTTTAAATATTATAACTTTATTTAATTTCATTAAAATAATGCTAATACATTGAAACTGTATTCAAGAAATAGCATTAAAATTAACATTTTTATTTTTCGCTATCATATAAAGTGACATTACTTTCAATTTTGGCGACTTATTGTACAATATTTTGAATCTGAAAAATAAACTAGGTAATAAATGCTTTCCGCTTTAGCACAATTTATGAAACAATTTTTAGCAAAAATAGCTATGCAATTAATTAAAACTGCCTTTGTTGTAATTTTTTCATGGTGAGAGTTTTTCCCATGTAGTTGTCTCAGTATGCGTCAGTTTTCGCTATGAAATTAATTTTATACTTTTCCCTCTGATTTTTTTAAAAAAAATATTTCAGCCTTTTTGCTGTTACAGAATTGGTTGGGGTAATATTTCTTCAGGAAGTTTAGAAGGATTTTAAGGCAAGATTTACGGACCCACTAATCTGGAAGATTCGAGACAAATGTCTTCATGGTATTCACACATAATGGATGTATTTTACAGAAATTTTGTGATAAACTTTTACTTTTGGGAGAATTTTCTGAAAAACAAGGAAAACATAATATTTAAATGTTTTACTTCTTATACTAGATTTTTTTTCTTAATATGTTTACCTTCCCATTGTTTTCTCTACTTCATTAGATACAGACGTGGAAAATATCAAAAATGCTTTTAATCTTATCGCATGAACAGGCATTTATAGAAAGGAATTTTTCTATTAATAAAGAAATGGAAAACTGACAATTTAAAAGATTAATCTTATATGTCTCAATGCATCATCAGGGGCATAGCTAGGGTGGAGCAAGGGGGGATATCTGTTCCCGAGCGCAGTATCCATGGGATGCCAAATTAATGTTACAAAATTTTAGAATGAAATATTTTTCATTCTTGGCGTACAGGAGGGGCGCAAAATCTTCAATTGTCCCCGGACGCTGAAAGCTTTAGCTACAGCTTTGTGCATCATACACAGGGCTGGCACTATGCATTTTCCTACCTGATGCAATCTCTCTGGATCCTAAATTCTAAATTTTTGCCATTTCTTGATTTTATTGTTGGTGTGTCACTAAATTCTAAAAATTCTGCTACACCAGCTCTGTAACCGTCCCATACCGTATATCATTTTATATTTATTCTGAATGTTCACATCACTAAAAAAATAAAATTACCACCTTTTCCTATAAAATCTATATGCATTTACTTTTTTAGAATAACAGAAATCTTTAATTAAATCCAAAAATTCTAAAATGAAGAGGAAATGTATTGAAAAAGAAACCGAATACATAAAGAGAAAGAAAATTATTCTTGAAAGATATGTACACTTGTTATTATGTAAATTAAGCAGTTGTGTATAATTTCAGCCTTTGCTGTAATTTTTCCTTTCTGTTTCTTCACCAGAATGAAAATAACCTAGATAATTTTTAAACTAAGGTTTTGGAGTTGTAAGACAGAATTTGTTTCTTGCCTCCACTTGCACCCTGAATTAATTCCTACCAGCTCTGATAATTTGTAATTATTCGTTTTTGCGTTATCGCAGCCGATACTTGAATTTGTTATGCTATAACTAGGTTATGACGAGTTACGAGTTTGTTAAGGCGTGTTACTACTGAGCCAGCTTAGATTAAAATTAAATTGTCTGGTCTTTGACCGTTAGTCCACATTTTTAGTTTGAATTTGACTGTTACTGTTTAATTGGATCACCATAAGCTGTAGTTGATTTTACTAGCATAAGAACAGGCCTTTATGTTCTAAGGTCTTTTTAAAAAAGAGGTATTGTTTAAACCTTTATCTGACATCATAGTTACCTTTAGACATAGCAATAATTTGCTTCATGTCTATCAGCGGTTTGGGACTATTTAACGTTTACCAAATAAAGTAAAACCTCACAGGTACTTTATTGAGAGATTGCAAAGTTAGAAGATAAAACATGAGAAACTAGTGAGAATATTGGTTTGCGTATTGAAACAAATTTCTTATAGTTGTAAAAGATGCTTTTAAAGAGAAGGAAATTGATATAATAGCCAGAATGTCTGGAAAGGCTTCAAATTAAAAAAAGATGCTCAAATATTTTGCCGAGTACTGTTGCTACAAAACGTAAATGTTTTGTAGCTTTTAATGTGTATCGTTTAAGAATCAGTGTCATAAATAACATGTATTTTAAACTGTGACATGTTAATCGATTGTGATTTTAATAGTACATTTTAAAAAAATATTTAAAAAAAAATAAATTTAATAGTAGCTGTGTAAATCTATAACGTTTAAGTACCCTTATCTAACTAGCTAATGTAATTATTTGTAACTAGCTGGTCACCCTTAAAAATTATCAGTGCATATTAAACTGAATTATTGCCTTTAATTAATCTTTACCGTGGTCACAAGAAACAGCACAAAAGTGTAAAAATTAACATGAAGCTTAATTCTTTGCATCTAGTGAGACTTAAATTAATACAAAACAGCTTATCACCTCTGATGCTTTAGCGGCTTATTGGAACCTTAAAATATATTAGTTGGGTTACAACCCCAGAACAACTCTACACGAAGTTATGCGTCTGACACAAATTGCATCTGACAAGCCAGAACACAACTAACTTTCAAAACTTGCCAAGTGGGACTACAATAAGGCTTTCAGGTTTGTTTTGTCAGCAGGCCTCTCTCTAGGCAAGCAGTAGCGGTGGCAACAGCCAGTCTTCTGTAAGGAGTCATGCTGAAAATGATTTTGCTTCTCATTTTAACCTATGCTGTTTGACATAAAATCTATCCGCTATTTACTAAACCTCTAAACTGAGCAAGTACGTGACAAAATGAGACATAAAAGAAAAATATCAACTTAAAGCTAAATAGTAAAATGTAAATAAAATTTCACTAATCTTTTATCAAATATGTCCAACTATTATAAAGGTAAAATATTTAATGCTACCTGATAAATTTAATAAAGTTTATTTTATTCACAAATTTGATTTATAATTATGTTTAATAATAATGCATTCTACTTGTGAATCTATTTTATTCTTAGAATGGTATCACAAAGTGAAGTTCAGGCATTCTTAGTATCTTTAATTGAATTTATTCAGTTCCCATTTATTCATGGGTCCTTAATTTTTTCATTAATGGTCCTTAAAAGTCCTTAAAAGTACTTAATTTCCATGTGCAGAAATGTGTACGAACCCTGTGTAATGTCAACATAAAAGGTGTCCATGCTGTTTGGTATTCAGTTACAAATATTTTTAAAAAAAATGTTTAAGACATTGGTGCATGGATCATTTCTCAAGATGCCATGAATTGATACTCATGTGTTTATGAAAGCAAAAAATTATTAAAAATTATTGTCAGATTGATATCTGGGATATAAGTTATTTCAGCAATGAACTTTAGTAAATGATAACTTTTGGCGACTTTAAGATTTATATGAAGCAAAAAGACAGCTAATGAGCCAAAATATTATTGATAGCATAGATTTAAGTTAATTAATTATGATGTTTCTTCAATAGTGAGGTGTTTTATTTAGTATCAGATTGAAATTAAGAATCAGGAGCTATCATATAATTTATAATGTAAAAATGTCTACAGTACATGCATAAATCATTTAGCATATCTAAAGTGAGACTCTACTTTTGGAATATAATTCTTTCTCACTTTTTGCAAAAAAATTTCTAAAAACAAATTGCTGTTAGTTGGAGGTCCAGATGTTGGATGTCTGGATTTCGGACTTTGTACAGTATTCACAGAAGTCCTTATGGCCTTTACTTTCAAAATCTTTGGCAACAGACATATATTTCGATTACAAAAATTCTTTAAATGATACAAATGTTCATTTTTGGCATTTTTAAATAAAAGCAATTTTGTAAAAATTATGAAATATAACTTTTGATATGTTATCCTGATTCCAATACTCATATTTTTGAAAATGTTATGCTTCTTGTTATTATGCTTAAACCACAATATAAAAAAGTGTCTTTTAATCAAAAAAAAAAAAAAATTGGTTGACGTGTTTAGTTTTAAAAGTTAGACATCATATTCAGGGGCCATGCGCAAATTCAAGAGTGAAATGTTTGCATTTGTAGTTAGAAAAAAATAAAATATTTGTTTAGAAAATTATTTTTGACATTGTCAGATTAAAAGAGGAGCATTCATATATATATATATATTATCATGAAAATTATTGATTAATATAATTGTTTTCAAATAAAAGGTATTTTACATGGAATTTTAAATAATTCTTGTTCTAACAACACTGGTAGGCTTTGTATTATATTGTCAACTCATAACCTTATTTCATAAATTAAAAATGTGAAGCATTACTAGTTTAATGAATTTTTATATGACTTTTAGATTAGAATTCTAGAGTAATAAAATTGCATCAGAATATTTCTAACATATTTCTAACATTTCAAAACTTATAAATTATTTGTGCGCAAAATCATTCGTCACATCAATTGTAATAAAATTATAAATTAGAGAGCCATTACACACTAGCAAATTACAAAAGAAAATCACTGAAGGGCATTTTGTGCGCAAAATTTTTTGTCACATCAATTGTAATAAAATTATAAATTAGAGAGAGATTACACACTAGCAAATTACAAAAGAAAATCACTGAAGGGCATTTTAGGAGGGGGGAAAACTCAATCTCACAATATTATAATTTATTTATTAAGCAGCCCCTTAAGCCGAGTTGAAATGGATATCAAAAATCGCAAATTTTGATATTAAGTATCTCGCCCAATTTTTGTCATATGGAAGTCAAATTGTTGTGTTTTATTTTTTATAAAGAGTGTAATATTTTACTGAGTATAAGTATGTGGACTGGATTAACATATAAAAATTTAGATTCAGTATTTTATGCAGAATTAATTTTTGTAAATAAAGGAAAAATTAAAACATGAATCATTGCATCATTAAAAATGTTTTTCTATCTCTACACTTTTGTTTTTATTTATATATTAAGTGCATGTGCAAGACTAATGTTTGCAAAAATGAAGACCAGTTAAGGATTTTTGTGGACATGGCATATATACTAAGCATTAGTGCAGGAGTTAAAAGAAGTTTAAATTTAAAAAAAAAAAAGTATTAAAACAGGAATCTTTGCATCATTAAAAACAGTTTTTGATTGTACATCATTTGTGCATGTGCATGACTAGTTTTTGTGAAAATAAAGACCAGGTAAGGATTTTTGTGGACGTGGTGTATATACTGAGCATTATTGCAGGAGTTTAAAGGAGTATAAAGGAAATATTTACCCTCTTCTTTAATTATTTTAATAATTTGGGATAAGTGTGTTTAAATACATAAAAAGTAAGAGAGGATCAATTTTATATACATTATTTTAATGTTTTTTGCTTGACGATGAAGTGATTTATTACCAACCATTTTTAAGGTAAATCATTTATAACATATTCAGCATGAAAGGCAGCTTTTAAAAAGTAGTTGTTGATTTGTAGATCTATTCATTTAAAAATATTTGATGCTGTCAGTAAAGATTTATCATGAGTCACATAATATGAGATCAAGCCAAAAATTTATTTTATTTTATTTTTTTAATTAATTAATTTTTCAGTTTTAATTTATTTAATTTACTGTGATTTGGTAATTTTATGCCAGATTAAATAATCAGTTTAAAATCTTTCAGAATTATAAAAATCTTCACTAGTGGCCACAATGTCAAATGTAGCCCTTCAAATGCTGCAATATGCAGTATATATAATTTAAGTATGTACTTCTGTAGTATCTAGCAGCAAGGATGTATACTCCTGTTGTTCAAAAGATTATGCATATCATTTGAAAGCAATGGATTTATATTTTTAGCTATTAAATGCCTTGTAAGCAATGTGTAGCAACATTCTGACAACATAGCTTTTATATGTAAAATACGTACTTGATTTTACCACTGACAAGATTGCTGATCCTTGATGATTTGATGTAGGGTCAGATCTAATTGAATAAACTGGTTGTTTTTGATGTATAATGTAAATATGAGCCAGTTTCCCTTAGGAAATTCTCCTTAAAGGCATTTATTTTAACTGTCTTAAAGGCTGTTTTTCCTCGTCATAAAATTTTAAAAAATTCTAAATAAATTTTATTTTTAAACATTTAATTCAAAAGTTCTCTAAAAAATATATATCTTAGGAAGAATGTAAAGTAAGTAATATGAATATTTTACTACTATGCAGATATGCAAGTTCTATACAACATGTGGCAAACAAGAGGATCAAGTGTGGTTTATCCTTTTGTGAGTATTTTGGCTTCGAGATTTAACTTTTTTTTATGTACACTTTGTTTATTTGAATGAAAATTTATATTGTGTCTTTCTGCATACTTCGTAACTGCTTGCGTGCTTAAAAAGGTGAGGAGGTCTCTGAGAAGTTTTTTGAAATGTTTTATTGCATTATCTTTAAAAAATATGAGAAAAATCATCATTTATGTATATGTACATAAAATTTTCTATTAAGAACATGGAGTAAAATATTCTTTTACTAACACAAAAGGTGCTATTATTCTCAGAATGGGGCCCACCAGTGGCCGAGCGGTAAAGTCGCTGAACACTGGTAGTTCAGTCCAAGGTTCGAATCCCGCAAACGGGCTGGCTGCATGGTTGTTTTCGTGGTTTTCCCCATGTGTAACGTGTATACAAGCCAGTTTCCCTTAGAAAGTCCTCTACGAAGCCATCCCTTTCTTTAGGCAGATAGCCCTCGAGGCTTTGCCGTAATTAAATAACCTAACCTAACCTATTCTCGGAATGGGATTTTGCATTGTTTCACCATAAACAGCATATCACTTTTCCAATTGTTATCCCTAATGGTAGTCACCCTTTATTATTTATAAAGAAATTAAATAATAAAGAATCTGCTTGTATATGTGTTTTCACATTGTGAAAAAATGACAATGCCTAGGACAATGAAAGTTTGAATAACTTAGTTCTTCACCCAAAATGTGCACCTGGAAGACTGAATTTTTAATTTAAAATTTGTTTTATTATTTATTTCATATTTTGTAAAACTTTCATCAATTTTTGATTAAAAAAACTCAATGATTTGAAAGCAGGCAGTAACAACAATGTTTAAAATAAAACATTTTTATCTCCAGTGTGTGAGACTAGTTTTATCCTCCATATGCAAACATGTTGCCTTTCAGTACAGCCTGAGATACTTTCAAATTTAACCTGAAAGGTTAATTGAGTGGTAAACTATGTAATTTGAAAGCAATAAACACAGTTCTCAAGAAAAAGTTTTTCTACTTTTTAATGTGATTCATTTATATAAACATGTATTACTAAAATCATGAGATTTCTAATTAGAAATATTAATTATTATTAATTATTATTTTTACAAAGACCAAAGGGGCTTTTAGTTTCAAAACATGATTTTGCATTGTTCATTTGAGTCTGTTGCTATAAGGAAAAATGTAAAATATTATTCTTTCATATTTAATTTGTCTATTGTTAATTAACAAACTAAACTATTTAAAAGCAATATATGCAGTTCTTAAAAATATTATTTTTTACATTTTAATCTGATTTAGTTAAATAAAAATGCACTCAATTCATAGTATAGCTAATTAAAAACATTTAATACTTTTATAAAGTTGTGTTATACATGTTTTCATTTTTGAAATATACACAAGATACATAACATTCTCACATTAGTCTATATATTCATACAGTATCCTATAAAATATTTTGCTATTCTATGAAGGCAATCTTTACTGCTAATAATCTCTGCTGATAAACCATATTTTATGTGTATGCAGGTTTGTAATCAATTGAATGCAGTCAGGTCCGATAATAGGTTGATAAAATTTATTTTATCAAAAGAAAAGAATACAATTAGTAAGTAACACTTCAAATTACTAGGTGTGTTAAACACAATGCAATTCAAAGTGCATGTAAAGAGTGAAGTTACAACAACTGAGAGCAGATGCTTTCCCTGGTGTTATATAGTTTTCACCCTGCTGCTGAGAAATGTCTAGTAGGCATATGAAATACTAGAAGGCATATGAGGGCCAGATATGGTTACATTTCCATAGGAGATCAATTACAGTTATTCAGTTACAATACCTAGTATGATTATACAGGGACCAGAACAAAATATCGCCAATTTGGCGACTTTTGGTGATTTCTTTCCAGATTAGTGAGATATCCATTTGCTCAGTGTTAAATAGACTTGGCTGTGTATTCTTACTTTTCTGGCAAAGCATCTCTTACTAGATTTTCATGTTACATTCTAAAAAAAATACAACATTTTCATGTACATATAATTGCTCTAAAATAATCTATCTCTGTACAAAATTCGTAACATTGGCCCCCTGCCAAGGACTGCACATCTCAGGCAGTACAATCCCTGGACAATAATTGCAATAAATGACATAAAACAAATCAAATTCTAAACCAATCAAAAAATGCACAAATTTACAAATTTATATACAGATATGACCATGGTTTTAGTACTCTATTTACATTATATACACTGTGAGAAGTAAGTACTATGGACATAGTAAGGGGCTAGCCTGTCGTAATGAGCAACTTTAGGCTTAGAATTTGATGACTTATGATCTGAACTATGATGCCGTTCATTCACAGATGTTAGGACTGTGTAAGGACCATTGCAAGGTGACTTTAGTTTAGGAGAGTGCCCTTTCCGAGGGATTGGATTCCATAATCACACCTTCATGGAATGGATGTCCTGTAGCTCTCATGTCTTATTGGGTCTTATGTATCGGCAAGTTAATTTGCTCTCATGCAAAATTATGTATCACTTCAAATCGAGATTTTGGATGTACTACTCCTCAGGCGAAGAAGACTCATCCAGAGGGCAACCAAACAAGAGATCACAAGGAAGACAAAGGTCATCTGGGATGAGGAATAGCTAATAGTCTCATGGACAGCACTGTGATAGGCCAGTAAAAGCAGAGATAACATCTTGTCCCAGTCCTGTTAGTTTTTGGAAACCATCAATGAGAGATTTTTAAGAATAATTCAATTAAACCTCTCTACCATGCCATCTGACTAGAGATGTCAATGTGTCATTTGGGTTTTGTTGATGCCGAGTAGCTTGCAGAATTCTATAATTATAGCCAATGTAAAATTTCTTCCCTGATTGGAATGTAACTGAAGAGGCACTTTGAACCTGGAAATCCAATGCTGTATCATTTTCTCTGTTACCATGACAACCTCTTGATCAGAAATAGGATATGTTTCAGGATGCGTGCTGAAGTACTCAATGACAACAAGGATATCTTTGTTGCCATCAGTAGCTCATGGCAGAGGTCCCAGAAAGTCAAAGGCCATATGTTCCAAAGGCACTTCTACATTGTAACATTGCATCTTCCCTTAGTTGGGTTTCTTCGGTCCTTTCCAACCCATGCAAGCATCTCATGATTGGCTCCACTTTTGCATCAGCCCTTAAGTTATTCCATTAATCTTCATTATTCTGAAGTGGACTGCTATAAAGGACATTGAGGATCTTGAAAGTGTCATCTGCCATTGGAATGCCTTTCCAACATCTAATTCAAACTTTGGGTACAAGATATTGTTAAAAATAAGGAGTAGATCCCAGAGAGCCCAGTATTGTTGTGTCATAGAACTATAGATCAAAATGTCCTACCAGGTAGGTTTTATGTTTGAAGACTCTATTTAGTCAACTATGAGTTTGTTGTTGCCATCTTCCAACTGGTCTCTCCTGGCATATTCATCCCTCCATGGATCTCGATCAGCTGATGCTGAAGTTGTAATTTGTTGTGCCTCCGTTCCTTATGAAAGGAATGGAGGCCTTTTAAATAGCTACCATAGCAAGTCTGAACCACTAGTGTGGAACGAGCACACTAGTTAGCTCAAATGGATATGCCCAGTTATGGAAATGTTTGTTTAGTTGTAATGCAGGATCTTCCAGTATGGTGAAATAAGAAATTGAAAGATAACAATGGTGAAATCATAATTTCTACAATATTTCTTCTCCTATATTTGTGATGTTAAAATATAATGTATCAATATGAAATTTAGCATCATAAATTTTATATGTGTTAGACTTAATTGGAATATATAATGATTATGTAAAGATTTTTATTTGTGAAACTCTGGAAGAACCAAAACTAACTGATTCTGAATTCAGATTTCATCCTGAATGCAACTTACTTGCTTTCTACACTTTTCAGATCAATTATGTTTCTACACTTTTTTTACACATTATACTTTAGCCTACTCGACTGCTGCCTGCTGCTCTCTTCTTACTGCAAAGCTTGTAAACATTTTGAAATAAGCTGAAATAAGCAAAGTATGCCAAGTTGTTTGTGGCCTCATTAGCTTTGCTGAAATAAAAATGAAGACTTAATCTGCCTTGGCTGCCTGTTTCCTATTAATTATAGATCAATATTCTATGCAATCAAAATTCTTTCTGTTCATTATGGATTCAACATTCTACATTCTATGTGCTACAACATCATTGCTGTTTCATTACAGTGACTGTATGCCATATTTCTCCATCTACACCATCGTCTGTTTCTACAGTATTATTACATCTAAATTTGCTTCATTACATGTGTATATATATATATATCAAATATCAGTTTCTTTTAAAGGAATTAACATGGAATTATATCGCTGTCAAAAAAAAGTGCTTGTCAAGTAGGTGATATATTCTCTTGAACTGTGTAATGTTCAACTATTTTTCTGTTCTTGGCAAGAAAATGATTGCTATTTGTAAAAATGTTAAATTTTGATGAGACTTTAGAGTTTTTTAATGAATCATGAGCCCTTAGACTTTTGTGGTATGCTGGAGCCCATGCCTTCTCAAGAATGATAATGAATGTGCCAAAAAATAGATTCCTATTCATGTAAGGCTCTGTCAGCTGTGACCATATATTACATCAGAACTGTTACCATTAGAAATTAGGTTAAATTTTCTATATTGTAGCTTCTTAAATAAAATCATTCTTTTCTGCATTTATTCAAAATTTTAATGCGTATAATTTGCTTTGTTTCCCAATAATATTATGTTTCTTTCAGATCAGTTATGTGATCGTTTCCACTGATTGCATTATTATCTATTACTTTCTCTAAAAAGAAGCAAAGTTGTTTGTTTAGATAGTTTTTGGAGTCCATATCTGTATTTAGGAAAGTCATATTTGAAAGCGAAAAATGCTTTTCAAAATCTCTTGAGTATTTCAAATAAGTAATTATTAATCTTTTATATAAAAAACTTATTTTTAAATCCCATATTAGTTTGCAAAAAAGTAATTAACCAAAAATTTAAATTTTTTAGCTATCACTAGCAGTAATAAGTTATTTAGCAGAAAAAATTGCAACATATTTCAGCAATTAAGTTTGTCACAAAAGCACTTTTAAGAATCATGAATGTTGTAATTATTTGCAATAATATATTATGTACATATTAAATTTCAAATAAATTAATTTAGTATTGCTTAATATTGATTCCTTATTTTACAGGATCGTGTCTTTCTTGAATTAAAGAGATTAGCTCGGCTGAGCCACTATTGTTTCACACCTATTCTCTTCAGTCCTTCCTGGCGTTGGAGGGTTGCTCCAATACGAGATCATGCTTTGGAACCTCTTGAACAGCTTTACTCTTCTGAACGGCTTTCTGATTCCTTAACTACAAGTGTAAATAATTTTTTACACAATCTGATAAAACTGAAAAGATATTCTAATTGCTTATATTCATATTTCTATAGTTTCTTTGTTGCTGGTTTGTATTATATTGCTAAAAAAGTGTTTTAATTTGTTCTGATTAAACAAATGTGAAGAATTTGATAATACAGTTAGTACATCTGAAGAAATATTTAATGTTGTGGCTTGCTCACACGGTAATATAAGACCCAAAAGTAAATCGTTTGAGTTTACTGAAGTATTAATCTGTAAATCTTATAATTAAAGAACAGTCTATTGTAAAAGAGCAAATATATTTAAAATATTTTTCCAAATATATTTAGCTAGTTATGCATTAATATAAATATTTTAGTGTATTTGCTATATCAGCTGATATTACTTTTCTGAAACAGTAAAATATTCTTAGATATTCAATATTATATCTCCTGTGATGCATAGAATATATATTATCCCAGCGAGATGCTCTTGTTGGCCATCAGATAATTTTATATGGTGCAGAAGATGTTATATTGCAAAATATGCTCAAATAAGAGTGATTCTTCTTCGATGATGTAAGCTGATTTCTTCAGTTGTCAGGGACTTTTCGCATGCACTTCTTTTTTAACAGTTCATGCACTAGAATCTTAGAAGTTGTCATATTGCCTTCTTGCCAATTTTAATGTATAATTGTATATGTTTATCTTAAATCTTATTATAAATATGTAACTGTCATTAAAATATTTGCAGTTTAGTAATTATTCAAATAAAATGCAGTAGTGTGCACAACTTAAGCAACAAATTCATTTTTCAACATACAAACCTGAAATTGTTGAAAAGGACTTTTAGCAATCAGTTACAGTAAAAAGCTAAGTCAGTAGAAAGGTGGTGCATATACACGTCAGCACCATGATGTAAGAGGTTATGTCAGGGCATCCAGGCATGAGGAGTCAGCATGTGCAGTGCAAGACAACTTAAGAAAAGGCTCATTTCCAGGCATTTTTCTGTAAGTGAAAGTGAGATTGTACATGCAGTATGGCTACAAGAAGACATCCATGAAAAGAAAATACTAGTATGATTGGCAAGTTTGATTGGAGGTATAGTTTAACGTCTGTCACTCAGTAATTTGTAATTGATAAAAGTGTTGATTCACAAGCTATGAAAGCCTTCCAGACAACAGGTGCATTTGTAAGAAAGATTGGTGGTGATTGACCAAGGAAAACAATGACTGATATGTTTCCCTGAAGGCAAAAAGATATTGAAACCAGGCATTGCACATAGCAACTGGATGACTGGTGTTCCAGTTTACTTTGGATGACTTCATAAAGGTGACCTCTTTGCCCACCGCCCTGAACACTGCATACCAGAGTCAGCAGCTCGTTGGCAACACCGTTTACAGTGGTATAGAGAACACAAAGACTAGTCCCCTCATCAATGAAGTCACATCCTGTTTACCAATGAGAGCAGTTTCAGTCTGACAAACAATTATTGGCTCCAGTTGATATGGAGAAAAAAAGAGGTATGCTTTCATCCCACTGACACCAAGTAAAAGCACCATTGGGTGATACTATATGGGAAAGCATTATGCTGAATGGATGGATAGAGCTTCATATTTTCTACAAAGGTTCACTTAACAGAGATTATTACTGTGGTAAAGTTATCCTGTTTCACATATCTTAGGTATTTAATAATTAATATTTAAGAATTGCTTTTTGAAAGGTATTCCTGAAACCTGAACTAAAATGTCTGAATAGATTATACATCCTTTTGTATTTTAAAAGTTTAATATCTTTTTAGTCACGGATTTCATTCTTTTTGCATTATATTATTATATTTTTTAATATTATGCCACATTGCATCTTATTATGCTATCATAATGTTAATCATTCATGCAGCTTGAATTGTCATTGTATCTTTGAAATTTTAAAATTATATTACATGTAAAATTACAGGCAATTTTAATATGATATATGTACTTTTTAAGGATTTTTATTTAGTTTTTTAACAATGCATATTTTGTTGTAATTTATAATTCATTTAATTGATAATTTTTATAAACACTTATACATTAACTTAGATTATAAAAAATTTTTCTAATGCCATTACAATTTTAATCATTTATATAAAATTAGCACCACATTTGTAAAATGCCTTTCATTTAATTTCAGAGGTCACGTCATAGTTCTGGCAGTAGTCTAAAAAACAGTGATGGTTCAAGTACTGCATCTAGATCCAGGCGTGTTAGTGGTGTGACGTATCCTGGTTCAAATCAAGGTTCTCCTCGAATGAGAACAAAAACGCCATCAGAAGAAACATGGCATAGCACTGTATGTCGTCATTATCTTCAGGAATATGTGCAATATTTACATACTGTAGGTTTTGTTTCTTTGCAGACATCTGACACATCATCAGGACAAAGGTAAATTTTTTCTCATCTGTGAATATGAATAATTTGTTTTGTATATGTTTTTTAGAGATTATACAGTAATTTTAGAAAGAATGTTTGTGTGGCTTTAATGTACATATACAGTACAAAATCCAAAATCTCTCCAATATCCGGACCTCAAAACCACCAACAATATTTTTCTCATAGGCTTTACGCATGTGCATTTGATTTACCCCTCCACGCATAATAAAATATCTGGAGAGTCCCGATTCTTAATTTCACTTCGACACTAAATAAAATACCTTGTTATTGAAGAAACAATCATTTTAGCGTAAATTTTTACAATCAGTAATTTCGCTCCGTTGCTGCGTATCTGTTTGGCCCACACCTCAAACTGAAACATTCCACATAGATACATCACTGATCTGATGCCAATCTGGCGAATCGTTATTTATTAGACTTTCATCACCACATGTTTATTAAAACATGAATACTTACTCATGTAGTGATGCCTAAACAATTTTTTATGTTAGTAATTGAATAATAAAGTAGTATGGTAACCTTTTATGTTGACATTATGCTTGGCGATAATTACAGATTTAAGTTAAATGGGCTAAAACGTGTTGAAGAGGAAAAATTTACCAAAATTTTCTTTCCATATGCTTGGAGAAGCGGTAACAAATGGAGATGATATAAAAGAAGTTTTTCATTGTGATGATAATGCTTCTCAATTATCAATCAATTAATGAACGGCGAAGTTTGTAGCATGGTTTTAGATCCAGAAAATACCACTACTGATAGTGAAGAAAGCAACAGGGAAGTTACCGAAAACGAGAAAATTTCGATTGAGAAGTTAGTCGGAATTCTCGAAACAGCAGTTACAGGACTTCAACAATGTAACTAAACAAGAGATTATGTCTGTCTACAGAATTAAAGCACAAAAAACGAAGCAACTTAAATAACTTACATTAAAAGAAATGTTTAATAAGGTAAACTAATTTTTTTTTTTTTTTTTTTTTTTTTTTGTTTATTGTAAATTTTGATACCGCATGTTTAACATTTACTGTATGTTAAGATCATAAATACTTCATTATTTCATAAATCACAATTTTATATTTTTAATTTTATAATTTCTACATGCCATCTTACTAGATTTATACTGATGATCTAATATCCGAAAAAATCCCAAATCCAGAATCGCCGAAGTCCCGACGAGTCCGGATTTTGGACTTTGTACTGCATATATATATATGTCTTTTAATTTTAAAATATCCTTTTTTAAATTATTATTATTTTTTTATAGTTACAATAAATAGGCTTTGCAGTGTGATTATGAATATGATAGGTTTTTTTTCCAAAATGCTTAGATGTCATTGGGAAGATCACTAAATTTTTCTTTTTATATGTTTATTTTATTACTTCAGTTATTAATTTAATACAGTGACATCTCAGTTTATGAACTTAATTCATTCCTGACATTTATTTGTCATCTGAAACAATTTGCTCATAGGAATTGATGTGAAATGGATTAATCTCTTCATCAAACACAAATGATTTCTTATTTAGATTTTACAACACTCAGTGTATGAGTTTGTAACCCAAAACATGTGGAAATTATTGCTTATATAAACAGATAAAATAAACAAAAACTTAATTTTATTGTACCTGTATGAAGGAGATGCCATAAGTGGAAAATGATGAGGAAATTAGTATTTTTTGCATAAAAAATTTCCTTCCATAAAAAAATCATGTAGATGTAATCTTTTATTTTTTCTTTGTGTCAAAGCATCTCTGAGACATACTGGATCTCTGTTTCACTTAAAATGTATCTGGAGTTATTTGGTACTGCCCACATTAAAAAATAATTCTGAAGTGAGACTTGACATTATCATTGAAAATGCTTTTATTGTATAAAAGAATGCTTAGAAGAGAAGAAAATGCTTTGCTATTGTTTTATCAGAGTGGTATCATTACATGAAAACTGTATACCGTATCCCATTTTGCACAAATTTTGCAGATCAGAAAACCAAGGTAATTTTTTTTTCTTCCTCTTCTTCTGAAAGCATTTCTACCACAGTTGTCTTTTGTTGCTATTTCTACAGTTGTTGTAGTTCTTTCTTTTATTGAACTCATTTTTATAATTCTCTAGTAATTTCTTCTTGTCTTTGTTATTGATATCCTAGCCCATGTTTTTTTAGCTTTGAAAATCATACGTTGCCGACTACAGTGTTCATAACTCAACACAGCAATCATCATCAAAGATGTTTTTTGTTCAGATAAATTGTTCATGATGTGAGGTATTCATGATATGAAGAACCACTATTATATTAATATTTTATAAGCTTTATTTTACCGTAAATGTCCTTAGTCCTTTATCTTGGGGTGATCCTCTGTAAAACTCTATCATGGTACCCATACATAACATCTATCCTTAATAAGTTTCGAGTTAGTAAAGTCACACTTCACCCCTTAATTTCTCAAAACAGTGTACTTTTAATAGACAACAAGTTGCTTATTTATAAAACCGTATTGCATTCTATACTATGCTATGCCTGCCTGGTCTGGGCATAGTCATGCAAATCTTAGAGAAAAAAATTGCAACAGGCACAAAATTGTGTCTTAAGACAGATTACCAATTCACCCTGGTACGTCGAAATCAAAAGTTACATGAAGAATTGGGTATAGAACAACTTAAGTGTTTTACTGCCGCCTTTCCCGGAACTTTTATGCCAATCTTGTTAATATCAACAACCCAGTTATAAGGATTTATGACCCAAATAATAGTAAACGGTCTATGGCCATACTTAGTACCCATATTGTATAACTTATTTAATCTGATATATACCTCTTAATATTGTGTTATAGATTTAAGGTTTAATTATGACTAGTGCACCAAGAAACACTACTTTGCCTATTATTTATACAAATGTTTTTTCTGCATCAGGCTATAGCCAGCTCATTCCTCCTTTCTCGGCCTTCCCAGATAGCACTTCAGGTCTATTGAAACTTGACGCACACTTTAGTCTTTTTAGGAATTTATCTTTTAATTTATGCCTTATCTTATTTCTATTCTTATAATTTAAAAAAAAATGTTAAAAAATATGATTTAATTATATATATTTATGTATAAAAAATTCTAAATATATACTAGTTACTCATGACAGTATTCAAAATAACATATCTGTTCTACAAGGGATAGGGTCCTTGACCCAGGTACCCTGGTGCTACACCGTTTCCCCAGTGCATGCGTGCATAAATGTCCTTCTATTTCAGCATTTATTTAACTTTTGAAAACTGCAAAGCAGGGTATTATATACAAATGATTAGAACTTCAGAATGAAAGCATATGCATGGGTTGAGCAGCTGCCTTTGAACTGTTGAGTTAGCCATATAGAAAACTGTATTAGAATGTTAAAAATAGTGTTTTGCAATGTGCTAGGATTAAATGTTTCATGCAAATTTGTTAAACTTCATCAATGACAAAGGGTCCAATATAGGCAATTTATGCCGTTTGAACAGAAACAAATTATTAGAATGTGAGAAAGAAGAATTTCCTATCATAAAATTTAAGCTCCTGTGAGGCGTAATGTTAGGCTTGTTAGTGTACAAGCTATACTCAAGAGGATCAGATAAGTTATGAGCCTGGTAGTAAACCACAGAATATTACTTAGCATGGAATACAGACACCTCATTCACATGACTATGACAGACTGTGCAGCTTCATCTTGATAGCTGGCATAACTTTAAGAGCAATGCTACAGGCGTGCCACTGTCAAATTCAGTAGTTCACTGGTATATGCTACACCATGGATTGCAAACATATATTCCTTTGTGCAGAATTCTCTTGATGTAAAATCATTGATGCTTCTGACTAGTGTGGGCTCATCATTGCTGCTGCCAGCATGCCTATAGGCAACAAATTATGTTTTTGATTGAATTTCGCTGAATTTTAAAATAAAGGTTCAATTTGGATCACATCAGTGGTCAAGTATGCATTAAATGCCATGAGATGAATGTTGTCTTCCATATTGCATTATCCAGGATAGTTGCTAAAGTTTGGATAATTGCAAATGTGATGGTTGGGTATGATGGACTTTATTCATTTGCTAAGAATTGAAGGTAATCTCCTCATCAGCAACTGTTTCATCAAGGAGGTTGTGGACGAAGTCATAACACTTCATCCAAATTATTTCTGGAGGTGTATTTCAAAGATAATGCATATCTATATGTATATTGTCAGGAATGTTCAAGACTTTATAGCATGTCAGATTCTATTTCTTCCTTGACCTGCCCATTCACAAGACAAGTCATCTATTGAACATGTTTGAGATTTTGTGGGCTTTAGCTTACTCATGACACTCATCCTGCAGCTAATATAGATTAATTTTGGGCTTTGATAGAAACAGTATGCAATGTTATTCTTCAGATGTACATTCAAAACTTGTATGATCCAATATCACAATGAGTACAAATTCTTATTGCATTTAATAATGGCTTCATCAAATACTGTACAAAGTCTGAAATAGTAACCCCCAATATTTGGAATGATTTAAAATCCAGACCTCTGGACAACCAGCAAAAAATAAATAAATGAAATGAAATAAAATAGTAATAAAAAAAAATTTTCCTTTCCTTGTGCGAAGTCTAGGAAGGAAGAATATAATAGCTCAATGAAAGAAAGCATGTGTACTGTAAATGCGATGTTTCTTCTGACTGAGATTCCTGCATCTCACTTATAAACATATGCTGGCTAGAAAATTCCACCATGACCAGTGACAATACAGTGATTGACATTCTATTGATGTTGGCCATAATCACACTCTCAGTCCTTGAATAATTGTACAGGGGTTATCTTTTTTCTGTCTAACCAAAATAAGCCCCAGTGTTGTCATATCTGCCTGTCATTTTGCTAGATTTAAATTGGCAATCTGAAATCTGAAATTTCCGAAATCAGTGGTTCTCAACCTTTTGACTAACACATATCATATGAACAAAAATTTAAAAATTTAGTACCACCACTACATTTTACAATGATTATTTTTCAATTTCTGACTAGAAATATATATACAGTCAAAATTTTTAATCCAGACTCGTCGGGACTTCGGCGAGTCTAAATTATCGGTTTTTCCGGATTATAGATCATCAGTTTAAATCTGGTAAGATGGCATGCAGAAATTATAAAATTAAAAATATGAGACCGTAATTTATGAAATAAAGAGCAATTATGATCTAAAGGTTATCAAAATTTACAAAAAAAAAAGCTTAATATTTATTTGTTTACTTTATTAAACATTTCTTTCAACGCGCACATGCGTAAAGCGTACATTATGCATAGTCGAAATTAGAAAATTGTAACCAGAAAACTATTTGATGTGTATTTGTGATATTTATAATGACGAGGACTTTTTTTCAGCTAACAGTTAACCGCTTGCCTGATTATCCCGAGTTATCTCGGGTTCGTATATATTGCAGTTAACTATTATTCTGAGACAATTTCTTTTATCACGATTTTACTCGGTCTGGAGGAAATGAAAGGAAATATTTAGCTTTGATTGGCAGTTTGCCAAATTTTGTTGGTTGCGCGGTTCTTTTGGAGGGACTGGTCGCGTGTTTCCCTCTTGTATAGTATACGTTGGCTTGTGGATTAGTAATTTATAAAGAAAGATGCATGCGTTGGAAAAAAATAAAATAATGGCGATGATGGAAGATAGCGAAAGTGATGTTTTTTCAGATAGTGATTATGAAAAGGTTGGTAAAATAATCAAAAAAAAAAAAATCAAATCCAACGAGACAGTGTACTCTGTGCTCCTGTGAAAGAGATTCCAGCAATAAGCCAGTAAGAAAAGAGACCAGATACAAGTGTAGAACGTCAGGTACCACTCTGTGCTGTCCCTTGTTTCAAAAACTATCATACAAAGATTAATATTTAACTTTTTTGTTTGCCCAAAATAACTCGGGATAGTAAACTAATATTAAAAATAAATGCTTTTACACATTCAAAAAATTAAAAATTCAACTTAAAACCTACATATTTTGATTTGTTTCGTTTTGTTGTATTTAATAATAAAATAAAAAAATGTGATGATTTTTTGCAATTTTTTTCAAAAAAATTTGGTAGGGAAGCGGTTAACAAGTGTGTTATTTTTGAAATCTTCAGTTAGAGTTCAATCACAGGAAATTTCTATCAATTTTTCCTTTTTATTACAAGATCTTTGAATTTAATAGTTAAAAATACTTTGTTTCTATGCATAACACTTATTTTTTTTTTTTTTTTTTTTTTTTGTTACATACCACCAGTGGTATGCATGCCACCCAGTTGAGAATCGCTGGTCTAGATGACTCCAGGTCTGACTTTATACCATATTAACTTTTGGCATTTAATATTCTTGTATTGTTTCGCAAATTGTTTCTTTGTATCACTACAGGCTGCACATGAAAAAATAACTTTCAGTTTTAATGATTCCTTCATTAAAATTTTCACAAACAGGAGTACATGTGGAAATACTTTTAAAAAGTCGTTCACAAAGACATCTCCATTGGAAATAGCCCATAACAAATTATCATCAATTCTTATCAATAATGAATCTTCCATGTCACAGAATAAATATACTGAAATACCGTTTATTAAAACTTTCCTGTTGAAAACTGAAAAATACAATTCTCAGCAGTTAATCGGTATGTGATACAAAAATTTTCAAAACGTATGAATGTATTTTAAAAGTCAATTATTGGTATATATTTGGAATTTCTTCAAGATATAACTAATGTATTTTTTCATCCCTTTTTTTTATACATATGTAACTAACCCTCTGAGTGTCATGACTGCCTTTTTCCAATCATGAAACTGTTAACTTGTTTATTTATTTATTTTTTTACAAAGATCAAAATATTATGTAAATGAATGAAAGTGTATGAAAATAGAGACTAAAATAATGCAAATTTTATTCAGTCAAAAATTTAATAATTATGCACATTTTTCTAATAAATGCTGTTTAAACTCTTCTTTATGAACAGATCCAAGAAGCCATGCACCTAGAGGGTTAACTAAATTTTTTTAATATGTCATAATTTGTTTCTTAATCTTCTGATTTGAAAAGTTTTTTAATTTGTCAAATTTCTGAAGATTTAGAAAGCATATCAGGTTGCAAATTTAGGGAAAATTTTCTTAAGGCTTGATTTCATAGACTTTAAAATCATGTGTCATAAAATCTGCTTAAATTGTGGAGATTTAAGAAAATGATAAATAATGCTAAAATTTTTCAGAGAAATATTAATGCCATTTTGATTGTTTAGTTGATTAATTATTAGATTTTACAAACTCTCTTGTATAATTATAAAATTCATGCATTCTTCAGATTGCTGTTCAATAACATATTTATTTTCTTTAACAGTCGACGTAGTGTCAGTAGTGAAGATGACAAATTGTCAAGGTCTGATTCCTTTTCTCACCACAGAAATAGCATTGCATGGCCCCCTGTTTTTTATCTAATCAAATGTTTACTTGGAGGACTTTTAGTCTTTGAATTAGGTATAATTGAACCTTATGCTTATGGCCATTTGTACTCATTAGAGTGCTCTAGGTTTAATGCTTGCAGTCCTAGAACTCTGAATTCGCAGGTAAACACACATTTTTTATTCCTCCTCCCCCTTTTTTTTTTTTTTTTTTTTTTTTTTTTAAATTGTATGTTGAATTTTCTTTTACTTTTAATGTGTTGAAAATAAGTTAAAAAGAGGGTTTCATAAATTCTTATGTTTAAAAAAAAGCATGAATAAAATATTTACTTACGATAAAAAATATTTACCAGCAGTTGCTTAGTGGTTGATAATAGACCCCAGAGATTGATATGGCATTGAGAGGAATAGATTCAGTTTCGTGAGAGTTGATGGGAAAAATAAATTAAAAATCACCGATGTAATGAACAAAAACTAAACTATAACAATTTTTGATTTTAATATCAGTTTGATGCTGTTATGCATATATAATTAGGTTAAGTGAAAAAAGAAGAAAACAATTTAGTAACCTTTTTAAGCATTTACAAATTTTGAGATATAATATCTATAATTAATTATTCGATGTCTTAAAGTTTTAGCCAAATTCATTACTTGAGTAGGAATATTTTTATTAGATGTAAATATGTTAGATGATTATAGTCTAGAAAATTATGAACTCCATAAAACAAATCTAAAAGCTACATTACCTTTTTATGGGGGAACAGTGTCCGATCATAATTATGTGACAGTAAAGTAGAAGGGATTGATATAATATAGAGAAATTCTTAAAAGGGTGAACTATCAGAAACATTTCGGAGCCGCTGAGATATGTACTAGAATTCAGTTTGCTGTTTATTGCAACAAGTTTTAGACAAAAATAGCTATATTTTTATGTTCCAAAATTTTGTTAGGAAAGTTAAATAAGAGATTCTGTTATCTTCTTATCTAGATGTTAGTCTTCTTAGATTGTATTACATAGTAATATGCAACAACCATTTTTGCTTTGTTGTACGAAGTAAAGGAAGTATTGTAATCCCGAAAAATTCTGGATATCATATTTCAACGAAAATGTCCATTTTGGCTAATACTGAATGCAATTTAACAATGTTTTTGCATGGCATCTGTGCATATAATTACAGAGAAAAGAACTCTTTTTGTTTTTTTTTCCCCAAACGAACTATAAAACTGATTTAAAATGGATTCAGAAGAGAATTTTTTTGTGGCGTATATACGTATGTATGTATCTCAGATAACTGAAAAGCAAGTAGCCTCAGAACATTGAAATTTATACATAGGACTGCTATAACATGTACTTGTACACCTCCCTTTTTGGTTGCAATCGGCAGTGGCTCACTGAGCTCAGTTTTTTTTTATTCTTATATGTTGGTAAATTGTGCATTTTTTGCTTTAAAAATGATTGAATTATGTTGTTCTTATCTTCCGGTTAAGGTTTTTATGCCTCTAGTTAATCTGCATGCAATAGTTGTAAAATTATCTACAATTTAAAAGTTGTGTAAGTGTGGCTAAACATAATTTTTTTTTACCATAGCAGCCATATTTGTTCACATTCGAAACATAGCAGAATAGTGAATTAAGTCAGCTTCTGCACTTTCAGTGTCTTTTTGCCAAGTGGGATCAAAAAGAAACTTTTAGTTTTGTGCACCAAAAAATATGTATTCTTGCCTGCTTGCTGAATTGCTTGTTTTTGCATAGAAGTTCTAATTATAATTGTAAAAATTGTTTTTTTTAATTGTTTTAACTGTATTTGGTGTTCTGTCAATTTTTAATGAAAATATTGTGAGGTTTTATGTAATTTTGCCTTGCTGCAAAGTGAGAACTGAATTAATTGAATGAAGAGCTGAACTTTATTGAAATTTGAGAAAATAAGTTTAAATGAAATGCAACAAAAATTGTGTATAATTTAATATTCTGTACGAGCAAGTTATGTGTTATCACATCAGATTTTTATAATATCATATAATGTCATTTCATTAGCTCTATTTTCAAAATTAAAATCTGTGTTTCTTTCCCCCCCCCCTGTGTATGAATTTTCTAGCCTTTTTTTTTTTTCATTGTGCTAAAGGCAGATGTACGTAAAAGAATATGTTGAAGTCAACTAAATGTATGGTAAACTGTTAGGAATTGTTCCATAAAACAGTAGTTTTGCATTCACTAAGCCTAATTTTAGGAAAATGTCACAAAAAAATGAAGTCTTTATGTCACAGTTTTTGGTACTTTAGATTATTACTTAAGCTATCATATACAGGGTTTTTCAAAACTTATCATTCAGATTTCATGGGGAGGTAGGGAAGACATCAGGGAACTGATTTCACATAGGAAAGTATGTCTGCAAATGTGCGTGAGGGCATTGTGTGTACCCAATCAGTTCGCCCAACCACTCCCACTGTGATCAGTGTACGAGTCGACTTAAACCCTTATCACATACGATATTTGTTGCCGGAACAAAACGTTTGGTGGAACAGTTCTGAAAAATGCTCTTTGGCGAAATAGGGTTACCATCTTCACTTGGTAAACAGGCTGAAAGCCAAACAAGAATCAGTTATCGCTCAGATTGGCAAAAGTGACATTTGCTTCTTTGTGTTGTTTTGTGTCTGTTTGTGTGATTGTGGCAAAGCCTCGAGGGCTATCTGCCTAAGGGAGGATGCCTTCGTGGAGGACTTTTTAAGGGAAACTGGCTCGTATACGAGTCACACTTGGGGAAAACAGCAAAAACACCCATGCAGCCGGGATTCGAACCTGTCGTGTTGTTTTGTATCGCTCACACTCTTTTCGTTTAAACTTTATTGTTAGTAATGGAAGGTAATAGAAAGATTATTATGATCAAGTTAATCACTTTGATCTCCACTCTGGCACTTCAAGTAACAGATAAACACACTTCTGGTTATAGCAATCAATTACATTAGTAATAGCCAAATTAAAACCTGTGCTGGATAAGTCTATTTATCAGACATTACTTATGTGTATTTTCTGTTGTCTGCATTCCAATGAAAATTTGATGGCTCACTGCAAAATTTGTGACCTGGTGAAAGCATTTTCTTGACTAACTTTATGGCTCATAATTACTGTTTTGTCCATTCAAACAAACAAACAGACAAAAAACAAAAACAAAAACAAAAAAAAAAAAAAGAAATTCTATCACAAAAATTTATATGTCTGATATTTACATCCTCACAGCCAGCAGATACTATTCAGCAAAATGAAGATCAAATAAAGTATATGAATACGTGAGCAATCAAACATGTGCGAGTTATGTACTGTCCCATAGAACACTCGGTAATATACCTAAAACACATTAATTATACCAACTCTAGAAATTAGGTGGTCCACATCATGAGTTTGTTTGATGTGATTATGGCAAAGCCTCGAGGGATATCTGCCTAACAGGAGGGATCCCTTTGTAGAAGATTTTTTTTAAAGTAGCTGGTATACCAGTTACAAATGGGGAAAACCAAAAAAGCCAGCCCGTTCGCAGCATTCTAACCTGAGACAGAACAACCAGTGTTCAAAGACGCTTTGGACACTAGTAGGCCCATGCACTTAATTGGAAAGTACAATTCATTATTTAAACACACATGAAGGTGATAATCAGTTGTGTACTGTTTTAAGTAATCAAATGTTATAAATGCACAGCTGTTACATTTCTTATTATTTATTAGTCATGTTTATATTGCGTAGATTATACATATGATATAATTATGAATTAACCCGATAACAAAATGTGTACACTCTTTAGTACTCAAATGCTCATCAATTATTTTTCACCTGATTATTACATATCCATAATAATTTGCAAAGAACTGATGACTACAGTTGCTGCCAATTACATGATCATTATATGAATTAAAAGTAACTTCAAATAAACTTTTGGGCAATGTTCATTTTTGTATTCATACATACATATATATACACATCTAATAAGTCATATATTTACATGCAGATAGGGAGATGTGATGGTTTAGAAGTTGTTAATATATATTTATTAGTATTAATGTAATGAATAAGATTTATATTAATGAATGTGTATACAAATGTTTTTCATCATGCATAATAATAAATCCATAAATTTCCAATGTTTCAATATGCAGCATTTACAATAAAAGTATAGTTTCTAATGTATTTTGTAATCCAAAAATTATTTCATTAATAGCATGAAAATAATAGACAAATTTAATGAGTATTCTCATTAATACATAAGCTATGCTTTTCTTTTTTTATGCATCTTTTATGTTGTTTAAAATGTGTCACTGCTTATGCAATTAACAATTTAAAAGATACCGTATTTACGCGAATCTAATGCGCATCGTTTTTGGCCAAATGTAGTATTCAAAATTGGGGTGCGCATTAGATTCGAGTGCAAAGTTCGCCGATGACGTCAACCAAATTTCTCGACTACATTTACCGTTGACACATTATTGCATAGAGGATACAAACTGCAGAGTACGTAGTCACGAAATGGAGGGCAAACAGAGAAGAATGTCACATGACGCTACTTTTAAATGTAAAGTAATTCTTTATGCTGAAAAAAATGGCAATAGAAAGGCAGGGAGAGAGTTCAACGTAGCTGAGAGCAATGTTCGCTTGTGGCGGCAACAGAAATTGGCACTGTTTGCAACTAAAGCTAGTAGAAAGAAATTCACTGGCCCTCGCAAAGGAAGACACCCTAAAATTGAAGAAAAAGTTTTGGAATTTGTACGTGAAAGGAGGAAGAATGGACAACCTGTGACTAGTGACACCATAAGAAATAAAGCAAAAGAGGAGGCTGAAGTTCTTGGAATACCGAAACAAGAGTTTAAGGCTAGCCGTGGATGGGTGGATCGGTTTATGAAGCGGATGGGTTTATCTCTAAGACGCCGTACAACAATATGCCAAAAGCTTCCTGCAGATTTTGAGGGAAAACTACTAACATTTCAGCGGTATGTCATCACACTTCGGAAGGAAAAGAATTTTTCAATGGGGCAAATTGGCAACGCTGACGAGACGGCAATTTGGTTTGATATGCCTCGTAACTACACCATTACGGAGAAGGGGACTAAGGAAGTTATCATCAAAACTTCGGGATGTGAAAAACAACGCGTAACAGTGATGCTGGCAATAACAGCAGACGG